TTTCGCTCCTTGAACACTCTAGGTGTTTAACGCGAGATGCCTATCAGCTGTGTCCAGGTGTTGGTTTTTACTTTCATTCCCATCCTGAGATAAGCTGGCTACAGTGTTTTTTCCAGATCTGCTACATTATTTAAAAAAAGGAAAACAAAAAGAAAGGTGTTTCATGCAGCTTTGGTACTAACTAAGGAGAGTGGCACGCAGGGGGCCGCACGGGGCTTCGGAGCCTGCACTCTGTGGCTGGAGGGCTGTCCTTGGACGTTTGCTCCCAGCAGCTGTGGCAGGACGCCGGGGCCAGTGGACTGACTCCTCCCTGAGCCTGGTGGAGCCCCCTTGCCCACCAGGTCCCATGCTTGCCTCTGCCTCCTTGTTCAGCCTTGGGAGTAAAGTTTTAACCATAATTTACTAGGGGTTATAATTATTCTCTAATTTAGAGAGAACAGAAATGGGCTAAATTTCCAGTCAATACTGCCTTTGGTTTTATTTGGAAAACTTTACAGCAGGTGGGAAATAAGCCAGCAGCGCTCCTCCAGTCCTTCCCCTGCTCCCTCCTGCCCGTCGCTGCCACATCTGGTTACACCACCCTTTCCTCCTGCCCCTGCCTTACGGCTGTTGCGTGGCCTCACTGGACCCCCCCTGCGTCTCCAGGTGCATCTGCTGGCTCCACCCCTGCTCACCCAGCCGCACTGCTTTTCTGCAGAGGTCACTGCAGTGTCTCCGCACTGCCCGTGGACCCCCCCTCGCTGGCCTTGGAGTCCCACCAGCACCGGGAGAGAACCACCTTCTCGGACGTATCCTGTGTGCCCGCCAGCTTGCTTCAGAGACGGTGTTAGTGCTGTGGGTGGAGGCCCCACAAGTTGTGTTTACTGGACGCGGGCGTAGCGCCCTCTGACTGCACGCTCCCGGCTGGTGCAGAGCATAGTGTGATGAGTGCCCTTTGTCACCTTCTGTCCCACTGCAGAGTGTGCACATCCCAGCCAGCCTGGCTCCAGTCCCGTCTCTGTTAATCTCCGTCATGTCTTCCAGGGAAGGGGCCTCAGGAGCAGAGTGTGTCCACTGGGTTCTCCTGTCGGACAGGAGAATGGGAAGGAGAGAGAAAACTCATCCGCTCCCACCCATGGAGACTGACTAGATTCGATTCACGAGTGTGCTGGGGCGGGGCTTCTGCTGAGCCCACGGACGTGACTGACCTCGCTGGGCAGGAGGCAAGTGAGGGGTCTTGGAGCCCCTGGCCCTCAGCTCCCGGGAAGTTTCAGCTTCAGCTTCAGCTTCGGCTCAGCTGAAGTTCCTGAGTCGACCTTCCCTCTTGGAAAAACATCTGTTAAACAGCTTTTTGGAAATGTTCTGATTGGAGTATTTGAGATGGCAATTTAATTTTTTTGTTGTGGTAACACATACATAAAATGTACCATTTTAACTTTTGAGTGTACAGTTCTGTAGCACTCAGTGCATTCACATTTTTGTACAACCACCCCCATCCATCTCCAACACTTTCCATCTCACCCAGTGGATGCTGTTTCCCCCCAAACACGAACAAACTTCCCCTCTGCCTCCCCCAGCCCCTGGCCTCCGCCATTCTACTTTCTGTCTCTGTGAATTTGACTCCTCTAGAGACCTCATGAGTGGACTTGAACAGTATTGTCCCCTTGCGACCGGCTCATTTCACTCAGCATGATGTCCTCAAGGCATATCCATGCTGTAGCGGGTGTCAGAAACGTCTTCCTTTTTAAGGCTGAATAATATTCCACTGTGTGGATGGACCAGGGTTTGCTTACTCACTGTCCGTCGATGGACACTTGGGCTGTTTCCACCTCTTGGGTGCTGTGGTTAGTGCTGCTGTGAACATGGGTGTCGAATATCTCATCCAATCTCTTTCCTTTCTTTTGTGTGTACCCAGAAATAGGACAGTAGCTGTATCAGGAGGTGAGTCTGTGTTTGATTTAAATTTCCTCAAGCCCAGCTCACCCATTTTTCTCCCGCTTCCCAACTTTTTTTGTTTTTCCACTTGTTGACATTTTTGGAGTAGAGACAGTTCAAAAAAGACTTTCACAAACTACCTTATATCATGGATTAGGACCAAAGTTTTTGAATTGACAGCCTGCAACACCAAATCCAGCACTTAGAAAGCAGCTGTGGACATCATAGTTGGTGACTTTTAAAATTTATTTTTATTTTTTGGGAGGGCGTAATTAGGTTTGTTTGTTTATTTATATTCATTTTTTAATGGAGGTGCCGGGGATTGAACCCAGGACCGTGTATGCTAAGCATGTGCTCTGCTGCTCAGCTGCACCCTCCCTCCCTCATGTGCTGACTTTCCGTTGTCTTGGCCAGTGTGGCATTAACACTGGTAAAGTTTTTCTGGGAGGAGGGAAGTGCACTTGGTGCTGCAAGCACACTGGCATTAACACTACTTTAAGGGCATTTTTCCCTGCTGACTTATGGGAAAGTTTACAGAACAGTCAGAGGATGTGGAATTGTTCTTAGCCACTGTTTAAAAAAAGGATTTTTCCATCATGTGGAAAATACGAAACATTTCTTGCAGGAGCAGTTGGGTAAGAGCAGCGTTGTTCCACTTTGGTGAATTTATTATCTTTTGGGAACATTAAGAAAAATCCACTAAGGATTGCTGCATTTATTAGCACCACATCCTACTTTTGCTTTTCTGATTGTTAACGGCGTTTTTGTGGGTGGCTCGTCTGCTCATGCAAGTTGGTCTGCTGTGTAATGACAGCGGCACCCTTTCCTGACACCGTGTGCAGATGTTCACAGTGATGTGGTCGTCCTGGCCGGAAGTCTAGGAATCCCTCAGGTGACCAGGGTGGATGCAGTGCGCTGTTCTGTCAGCTTGGAGCATCACTGGACTCAGATGCAGAGATCACAGACCAGGTCGCCTGCCTTCAGCCTCCTGACACCGGGGATGCCTTGCGTGACAGCATCAGTGCCACGCAGACGGCCGGCCTTGACATCACACGCCTCAGGCGGCCAGGGCACACCCGGATGTGTCTTAGTTCTGTGCCCTGCATCTAACTGCCAGAGTGTCCACACGTGTCACAGAAGTGCACAGGTCAAGGGAGAAGACCCCCCCAGCCCCTAAACTGCCTTGTCGCCAAGGCAGAAAAGAGGTGCAGCTGGTCTGCAGCCGTGAGCGCCGGTAGCTGCTGGAGCCGGGAGAGGAGCTGCCCTTCCACACCACACAGGAGACGAACGAAGCACCAGTCTTGTGTGGTAGCAGTTTTGGAGCTCATCGCTGGTATGAGGGAAGGACAGTGTGTTCCTGGAGGGCCACTCAGGGTGGTGGAGCTGGCAGGGAGTCATGAAGACAGGTCAGCGTGGAGCAGAGCTCATCTTGAGGGGAGCGGCCAGACCACCTCCAGCCTGTTTGCTGGCAAGGGCGGATGTGGCCCTTTCAGCTGGTCCCCCAGATGGTCTGCAAGGATTTTGACAAACTGGGGCCCCTCAGTTGCTGGTCACTCCTGTTTCATGCAGGTGTTATCCTTGCCCCAGGTTCACAAACAGCTTATTTCATTATCTAGTTCTTGCACCTTGCATAACCCTCTAGAATGGAGTCCATGTTCTTCTTGGCAGAGGAATGAAATGTGTGTTTTGTCTGGTATCGAGCAAGGCCACGGTCTGTTCATCAGCAGTGGAGGCAGGGAAGGCAGGGCCCTGGTTAGTAACCACCTTGCCACTGATGGGCTCTCCACCGTCTGCTTTACGTGGTATACTGTCGGAATCCTCCCAGTCATAGAGGCATAGAAGCGTTTGGGGTTAATGTCATCCATTGAAAGGACCAGGCCTCGGGGTGGGGGTCTGTGACTGGTGAGCTAGACGGCACTTTGCTGGCCTGACTGCAGTCCACCTTCCAGAAGGACTGCCGAGTCATCACCCTCACCGAGCTTGGGCTCCCCTCCCTGGGGTGTGGGCAGAGCACCGGCCTTGGAGGTGGGTGTCAGGTTTTTGTTATCCCATTGTCCTGGGTAACCCTAGCTGGACAGCTGCACAGGGTGAGCACAGTGTGTGAGGGTTACATGGTGACGACCGTGGGGTCCTGGGGGACCCCTCCCTTTCTCAGACGCCTGCTGAGCACACTGCCGGGCTGTGCTCCCCACTGAGAGGGTTCCCTTCCAGGCTTTAGTTCTGGGCCCCCGTCACTCACTGCCCTGTGCCTGTTTCTCATTATTAAAATGGGGACGCCTCTGGTGGGCTGCTGGCAGGCCGATGTCCAGCAGGACCTGGGCCTGGTGCCCAGCGCACCAGGGCCTGGACGTGGGGTTGCTGTTGTTTATCAGCTCCTGGCAGTCCGTTTCTGTGCACTACGGAGAGGCCTGGCAGAAGGGGTGGGAGTTTCCTTTGGGAGGTGCTGGGGGCAGTGGGTGGGGGTAGGGGGCCAGGAGAGGAAGCAGGAGGGACTGATCAGCCAGGCACGTGGGGTGGGGAGACAGGGAGGGTGTCCGGCATCCTTTTCGCCGGCTGCTGGCTCCGGGCAGCCCCATGCAGAAGGGACAAAGGGTCCTGCTTCTCCTCCTAGTGTCCCTCCTCCTCGGTCTCTGATTGTGGGACCTGTCTCTTTATTTAAGAGAGTCGGTAGCCACAGTGGGGTTTTGGGGGCCTTCGTGGAGCCCTGACACCAGGGGCTTTCCTTTCCCGTGTGAAGGTGCTTCGTCCTCCGCTCTGAGTCTCCGCCTCACCGGGCTCGTGAGCTGGGGCTGTGTGGTGGTGGGCTTGTGTGATCAGGCTTCTAGGGCTTGTTGGAAGAGACTGGGCAGATTGCTGTTTCATTCAGAGCTGTGTCGTCCAGAAATAGAACGATGGCTTTGCTGGCGAGTGAGGGTGTTGGCTGACTGTGGAGAAGTCCCTGCAACGAAAGACAGACTCAATCTCAGAAGACAAGGCCAAGGCTGAGGAATGCCCCCAACCCTTCTCCCACCCCCTCTGCCCAGTCTATTTCTGCTGCTTTTGTTGTTTTCTTGACTGTAATGTCCAGCAAATGTTTCTTGTTACAGAGTATGGCGTTTGTGAAAACTTGCGGAAGCTGGAGATCACGGGCGTGTCTTGTAGAGACGTCTATGCAAAGCGTAAGTTAATCGTTACCATCTACCCTTAACTTTGTTCCAAAAGCAGACACACGGTGAGCACCAACTGTGGAAAACAGAAATAATTTGGCCCCCAGCCTACAGGTTCTCTCTCAGACACCGTCTTAAAAAGTCATACTTGACATTTAAAAGACAACACTGGTAGTGACAGCGCTGGAAAGGGAGGGGCTCTTTTCTCCCCTTCTGGCTGTATCACAACCCTGATTTTGCAGCCCACACCGGTCTGGGGAGCGTGGCTACCCTGGAAACAACCCTGGTGTTCCTCCGGAGGTGTCCCTTTCTCTGCATCCTGGGCCGCAGCCTGGCTGGAGACGTGGACTGCAGCTGACCCCTCCCCCTGCCCGGGCCCGCACCAGTCCCAGCCCCCCCGCCTTCCTGCAGGCTTGTTGAGTCCCGCAGCCCCATCTTTCTTGTTCTGTGCTCCTTTGCCAGCAACGCTCTCTGATGCTCAGAGTTCCCCACCCTCCCCTGCAGGTCCCAAGCATCTTCCCCACTGGCCTTTCCTCAGTGCCCTTTGCCTGAGGCTGTTGGCAGGGATGTTGCTCTGGGCAGTGCACTCATGGTGGGGGGTGTGGCCTGCTTTGTCAACACCTCAGGCTGGGCATTTAGGAACCATGGTGACTCACTTCTCTTTGGCCTAAAGTTGACCTTTTGATCTCTCTGAAAGGACCTTAAGTGTTCATCTTAAAACCGTCTTGTTAGATTTTGGTTTTCATGTTCTTTTGAACTTTGTACCCAGTTCCGTATTGAACACTTAGACCAGGTGGTGCTTCTTACTTAAACGCCTTCCCTGGGAACCTGGGGCTGTGCTTCTGCCTGGAAACACCTGTCATTCAGGACTGAGGACAGAGGCAGCGGGGCTTTCTGTGGGCCAGGCTGCTGGGCCTGCGCTGATGTGCTGGAAGCTTCCTTCCAGGGTCTGGGGGCTTGCTAGCTGTTGTCACTTGCTGTGTACCCTCTTTTCAGTGGGTTTGTCCCCCTCAGAGGCCCCCTGGAGACACCCCTCCTTCACCTGCACCCCCAACCCCCACCCTGCACAGGTAGAGTGTGGACTTCCTGTGCGGCTGGCCCCTGAACCGGGCTGGTTTCACTGGCACGTTTCCTTATCCCATGAGACTTGTCCCCACACTTATCCTGCGGGGTTGTTGGGTCAGCCCGTGTTCCTGGGTTAGGGTTTGCCCTCGCGGTGGGGATCTCCTGTCAGAGGCTCTGGGTGCCTCGTAGACCTTCCATGAGGAGCCTAGCTGCCCTGGGCACGTGCAGTTCTGGGTGTTGGCCCTCCTTGCTGCCTCTGGGAGCCCTGCATGTCCCAGCCCCACTTCTGCCACCACCCCCCAGCACCCCTTCTCCCCGTCCCCAACGGCCTCCAGCTGCGTCCTCACCCTCGGCCGCCATTCCCCCCCCTCCCCCGCCGCCTGTGCCCCTGTCCTTGGTCCTGGGCCCAGTGTGGGGCTGGTGTGCGCAAGACCTCCCACTCCTCCTCCCTGTGCACTTCAGACTTTGCTTTCTTCTCTGGCCTTGCTCCACAACCCACCAACCCAAGAGGCCTAGTGTCTCCAGGAGGGTGGGTCTGGGAGCCTGAGTGGCCCTGTCTCGCGGAAGTGAAACTCCTTCCTGTCTTCTGGCCTCAATGGCGAGAGCAACGCTGCTTTGAATCCTGTCAAGCTGAGAGTTCAGAGGCAGAAAGCTGGTGTGTCCCCTCCCCGGTACCCTCTGCTCTGGGGGTGCCCCCGTGGCCCTGGCTCCACTCTCTACTCCAGCGTTGCTCCCCAGAGCTCTGTGCCTCAAGTTTGCCGGAGTGTAGAGTCTAGGGCTGTGGGCGTCGATGTCTGAGTCAGAGCCGGCCTGGCCTCAGCAGTCTCTGAGAATGCTCACTCGAGAGGTCTGCTGGGTTTTTGGACGGTCAGCTGTTTTCACGAGGATCTGATACCACAAGTTCTTATCCTCTGACTGCTTTTTGAATTAGGCCATTTGATGACATCTTTTTTTTGGGGTATATATGTATTTTTATTGAAGTATAGTCAGTTTACAACGTCGTATCAATTTCTGGTGCACAGCACAATGCTGATAACATCATCTTAAAGCAACTCGGTTTCACTCTAAGTTGTAAGCACTCAAAATAGCATCCTGGAGGGAGGCGGGAGCTCACACCTGCCAGGTGTTAGGAGCTGAAACCCAGAGGAGAGCACAGGTGGGGAATTAAGGCCCCTGCAGAGCTCCTCTCTGCTGTGGGCCCGGGGGGGCAGCTGTCCTGTGGCGGGGGTGCCTGGGTGCAGGTGGGCAGACAGGTGGGTGGTGCATGCCTGTGAGCAGGAGGAGAGGGGGAGGTCTGGGTGGGTGGTGGTGGGATGGTCACATGGGCGTGCCCAGGCGCAGGGGGGCATCTGGAGACTTCTTTGACTGCTGCTTCTCGACCCCTTGAAAATGGTTACAAGATCCAGAGAAGAATTCATACTGACTGTTGTTTCACGTCCCAGACTGTTGAATTGTCCTCGGCCAAAGTGGCTTCAGTTTTCATTTCACAGGAGCAGGAACTGTGTTTTTGTGAATTTGCTTTGAAGGCCTCCTGCAGAAGGAGGTCACTTAGCTTCTGGAACAGGTGGTGGAGGACAGTCAGCCCTGGCTCCAGTGTAGATGGCAGAGTCAGCCACCTTGATTCAGGAGGGAAGGGGTCTGACTGAGGGGGCTGGCGATCACCGTCCCTCATCACAAACAGCACACACACGGAGCTGATGGAGGAAAGTGCCAGGTGTGCACCGGGCAAGCGGGCGTCCTAGTTGAGGCACAGAGTTTCCTGCATGGTCACGTCAAACATCCCCAAGCCTTGACCTCTGCCCTCTCAGCTCGGGGGCCCCATTGGTGGTGGCGGGTGATGGGGAGAGAGCTGGCGGGGGTCCCGGCTGGCCTCCGTTGGGACTGTCTGGTGTGGATCATGACTTGGGAGAACGGCTGTCACCACCACCACCTTGGCGAGCGCCTGCCTCCCAGCAACGTGGGGGTCGAGGAAGTGAGGGAATTGTGTGATGTGGGTGAGGGAGGGGTGTCGAGTCGTATGAACACTGTTTCTGCAGTTGTGAAGGCAGAACCATCTTTAGCCCTCTCCCTGCTGTGTCCGTTCAGGTATAAACCCTCGTGTGAAGTCAGGACGTTTCATGAAAATTCTTCCCGATTATGAACACATGGAGTACAGAGATGTTTACACCTGCCGTACGTACCTCCTGCTGGCGTCTGCTTTCGTGGGCGAGCACGGCCGAGAAGCTGCATGGAGAGGGCCCTCTCACCCAGCACGGGGACGGCTTTGGTCCCGAGAGCAAGCTGACCTCCCTGGCTTTTGCTGTTCTCACTGAGCTGTGGGTCCTCCCTGGCTCAGGGTGACCTGGTCATCGTGGAGCGGCGGCCCCAGGGCAGCTGCACGGATGGGCCGAGTTTCCACAGTGGCTTTGGGTTTTTGGGTCGTACCAGCCAAGGTCACTGTGTCGATGTGCATTTTAACATGTGTCACTTCTTGAGACAGAGTAGCAGCCCAAAAGCCTTTCTATTCCAAAATGAAAGGTCAGTGTCCACATCCGGGCTTTGCTGGTCAGCCACGTTTTAACAGCATGTGTCAGTTTAAAAAGCGTCCGTGCACGTAGCACACACAGCAGAAGCGTGTGGAGACAGCTGATTGTTTAGCTCCTGATTCCTCTTTTGATTGGCGTTATTTGAGCTCTGGAAATTTCCCTAAGCCGTTTTCCATAGGCGGTTAATGCTGTCTCTGCTTTTTCTTGGGTTGAGCTGACACGCACTGAGAGCCGCTCTCACATTTCTGGAAGCACCCGGACACCCTCCTGCGCTTCACGCCGGCCCCTCTGAGCGCTCCTCACGTCCGCCTCCTGCACGGAGCGGACCCCCTTCTGAGTCTTAGAAGTGCACAGCTCCCCACAAAACTGCTCGGAGCAGGGGGAGTAGAGTCGTTTGTGGAGTGTCTCCTAACCCCCGGCCACTTGGCTGCTGTGTGCTGGCCGGCCCCACTCTACTCAGGGGGTTGCCCGGGGGTCAGGACAGGGCTGCCCAGGTGTGGGCAGCATGCTCTGGGGTGGCCTCTGAGGGCTGCACACGACTGCTTACAAACCCACCGTGTCTGTGTTGCCCAGGCCCGGGGTGGCGAGGTGGGAGCTGTCACCTCAAGCCCGGGGTGGGCTGCGCTCGGAAGGGAAGGGGGTCGGGCTGGCCAGGTTTGAAGGCATGAATTCTGTCCTTTCCCAAACCCTCTGGGAAACAGCCTCTCTAGAACGCCCCATCACAGACTGGCCCTCCCTCCCTGCTTAGCGGTCAGGCAGCCGGGCCTCCTCCGGCCCCGCGGGAGAACTGACGTCGTGGGTGGGCAGATCGACGTGAAGCTGTGCTGACGGGAACCGGGTGTGCGAGCTCTTAGGTCCAAACAGACAAGCGCTGAGAGGTTCATGACGTCACATGGCTGACCCAGGATTCTTCTAGAACAACAGCCTACCCGAAATGTACACCGCAGAGCTAGCGTGGGGTTCTGACCCACCTCTGGGTGCTCGGAGGCTGGGACCTAGAAGTGCCCAGAATTGTGCTGGGGGTGCGCAAAAGCTCTCTGCGGCTAATGAGGACGCACCGTGAGTCCAGACTGTGACCACGCCCCGGGGAGGCCTTGGCTTGCGCGTCTGGGCATGGTAGCTGCGTCCTGGGGTGTCCCCTGTTGCTTGTGGCTGATGGCCGTATGGCCGGCTCGTTTCAGTTGGGGCCTGCTGTCCCCTCGAGGATTGGGTGGAATAACAAGAGCCCAGCAGTCACTGTGGAAAGCGTGCAAGCTCCTAAAAACAGAATGGAAGTAGCCAGTTGTCAGCGCTGGTTGCCCCTCTCCGTGGACATGCTTGCACTGTGGTGGGTCTGTTACCTTCATGGGCTCCTGGGATGTCAGCGGACGCGTTTCCACGTGTGACGAGGGAAAGCCAGACTCAGCGCGATCTGAAATGTCCGTGTGCCCAGGTGTTCAGTGTTCCCGTGTCCTGCTGTGTCCTAAGGGCAGCTGGAGATCCGTCCTCTGACGCTGGCCAAGGCTCCCGAGGGGCCTGCGGTGACAGCTGGCTTGTAAGGGGCGTGGGACCTGCTGCCATTCCTGCCTCCCTCATCCGCTCGTGCCCTTCGTGGAGGTGTGAGGACCTGCGTCCTCTGGTCCCCTGGAGTCCTCCGGGCCACATTCCCCAGGACCCGAGAGACGCCGTCCTGGGAGAAACGAGTCAGCGTTGCGTGAGGCTGCGGCTCTTCTGTTGGGAACCGCGTGTTGCTGCCTGATGGTCTGGATAATTCTTGTCTGCTCGGCTTCGAGGGTGTCATGGGGGCTTCGTGGTCTTTACTGGGGATCTGACACGTGTCCTTGTGTGCAAACCTACAGTGACTGTCAGACTGCACTTTGACCTTAAAGATGACTCTTGCTATGACTGTAGGGCTCTGGGGTTTGAGGTCAAACCTAGAATTCTGGCAGGGCTCCAGGTTGTTCCAGTGACGCAAGGAATTTGGAACGTTGCCCACCACAAGTGAGGAGGCGGGCAGGCAACCTTTAACCCTCAGGGCAGATGACAAGGGGTGTTTGCTGCACAGGATGGAGTCTGACAGGAAGGCCCCCCAAAGCCCAGTCTGCCAAGTGGAGCCAAGAACACAGGTGGGGATGGTTACTGAGGGAGGAAGGAGACCTCTGGTAAGAATACAGCAGAGGGGTGCTTCTGGAAAGGCCGCGGGGCGCCCGCCGGAGGTACGTCTGAGAGAGGAGAGAGCCTCTGCTGCTGACCTGGCTGGGTTTCTTCGTGCTGTTTCTCCTGATTGTGTCCTGCGCAGCGGTTTTGTATCCTGCGGCTTAGCTGAGTTCGTGTGCTAGTTCTTAGCTTTTTGGTGGTGTCTTTAGGATTTTCTAGAAATAGTTACGTCATCTGCAGATAGTGGCAGTTTTACTTCTTCCTTTCCCATTTGGATACATTTTATTTCTTATTCTTGCCTAATTGCTCTGTCTAGGACTTGCAGTCCTACGGCGAATGAGCGTGGCGAGAATGGGCATCCTTGTCTTGTTCCTGATCTGGGGGAAAGGCTTTCCGCTTTTCACTGTTGAGCCTGATACTGGCTGTGGGTTTGTCATGTGTGGCCTTACCACGTTGCAGTACCTTCTGTCCTAACCCCCCACGTGAGAGTCTTCATCGTAAATGGATGTCGAATTCTGTCAGGGCCTTTTCTGCATCTACTGAGATTTAATTTTTCCTCCACCATTTTACCATAAAAATTTAAAAACATACAGAAAAGTGGAAAGAGTTGTGTGGTGAGTACCCATTTACCATCACCCGATTCCATAGTGCCCTGCTCCACTCTGCTCTCATGCATCTGTCCATCTGTCCATCCTATTCTGAGATGCATTTCACGGTGAGTGGCAGGCATCAGTCTGCTTCACCCTTAAACACCTGAGTGTGTGTTGCACTGTCTGAAGTTCACTGTTCATGGTTTCTGCTTAATATTGCTTGTGTAACAAGCATGAACCCCATCAGGGTATGGCCGTAAAATAAGCACGGACTTTGATGTGTGCCTGGTAAAGTGGCTCAGAAGATTGCACACAGAGGGGATGGCAGGTGTCCTGCAGACAGTCAGGCTCACTTAGAGACGTGTGTCCTCAGGCTGAAACCTCGGTAGCACCTGGTGTTTTTCCCACCAGCTGCCTGTACGCCCTGCAGCCTTGGGATGGTTCTGGCCTCACCTTCCCCTTCTCTGTGCCCCAGACCAGGTGGTCCCCAGAGGGCTGTTGTCTGGGCTCAGGCCCCTCTGGGCCTGTCGCTCGGTCTTCCTCCTGCAGACTGGTGTGATGGTGCAGACCACCCGTGGCCCCCACTGTGTGTTAGCCGGGGTTCTCAGACACCAAACCGCTTTCTTTGTATATAGAGATTATTACAAGGAATTGGATCACACAGCCAGGGAGGCTGGCAAGTCTGAGGCTCTTCAGTCAGCAGGCTGGAGACCAGAGGAGCCGATGGTGTAGTTCCAGTCTGCAGTCCAGCAGGTTCCAGCCCCAGGAAAAGCCCATGTTTCAGATGGAGTCCGAAGGCCAGGAAAGCCCAGTGCACCAGCTCAAGGCACTCAGGCAGGAGAAGATTGCCCTGTGTTCATGGGAGGCTCAGCCTTTTTGTGCTGTTCAGGAAGAGCCCATGATCTACTTAGAAAACGCGATGTCCCAGCTTGCAGCCAGGCAGGCGGAGCTCCTCCACACTGATGGGAGTGCCAGCCTTCTTCTGTCCGGGCCTTCAACTGATTGGACGAGGCCCGCCACACGAGGGAACACATTCTGTGCTCTCTGTCCACAGATCTCAATACTAATCTCACCCAGAGCACAGGCAGACCAGAATCATGTTTGACCAGAAGTGTCTGGACCCCCCCGTGGCCCAGCACAGATGACACGTAAGATGCACCAGCACATGCTGGCTGCAGAGAGACCCCAGGCCCTCCGGCTGGCAGGCAGGGCCCTGCATAAGCTGCTTGTCTTCTCTGGGCAGCCTGCTCATCCCTTCACTTGTTCGCTCAGCAAATACACGAAGTGAGGGTGGTTCCTGTGGCGTTTACCGCGCTGGCCAGCGTGGGCAGTGGGATCTCAGGTCGGCATTAGGTGCCTTTTCTCCGCTGATGGATACACACGTGTTGCTTTTGAAATAAGGGGGAAATTTTTTTTAAAGACAGATGAGGCAGCGTAAATCTCACTGCACAGCCCTGGGCGCTTTGGACTCCACCTCCGTCAGAGAAGCCCACGCCCCCTCAGCTGTGTGCACTGCCGGGAGGCTCTACTTGACGAGGGCGCTCACTGTGTCCTCCGAGGCAGCGGTTCCTAGTTGTTGGAGCTGGGTTGCAGAGGCTGAGGTTCCGAACGACCCATTGTGTAGGGGTGGTTTGCTTGAATCCGTCTTTGTTCCCGAGGCCCTGCTACAGGCCTTTGCAGCTGGTTTCCTCACCCGCGCGCCCTCCTCCCACCCTTTCCTCCGATTTGCTGGAGAGGCGGGCGTGTCTACAGCGAGGTCCTGTGCTCTCTCCCTGTAGTGCTTCACCGGTACAGACACATCTTGGGACTGTGGCAGCCGGACATCGGGCCGTACGGAGGACTGCTGAATGTGGTGGTAAGTCCCGGAGCTCTGCGCCTGCATTCTCGGGGACGGGGCTCCGTCCTCCGCCGGAGGGGCAGGCCAGCAGTTCCTGTGTGACAAAGTAATCGGATTACTTTTTGGGAGTCAGGTGTCATTTTCTAAATGAGCAGAGATTCATTTAAGGTCGCTCTTGGCTTCTGCCTCATCTCCGGACTCTGTGGTGATGGGATGCCAGCTGCTGTGAGGGCATCTTCCCTTCCCTGGTCCCTGTCTCCCAGACACTGAGGGCCACTGCCCTCACACCGCAGGACACTCTGGTGTTGGGTCGTGCGCTGGTTCGTAGCCCTGAACTGGGGGGTCTGCAGGCTGAAAGGAAAGGAGGCTGCATGGGGCACTCGGAGCCTAGTCCTGGATGGAAAGCATAAGCCCACGCACTCCAGGGGACCGTGCGGCCTGGGCCCGGTGTTGTGGCAAGTGTCCGTCTCTGTGCCTTGATCTGTCACTACTGCAGTGCCTTCTGTTGTCCCAGCGCGTGTGGAGTGCTTGCTCTATGAATCAGACACAGTCCAGCATGGGAGATGCCCTGGGGTGAGGCGTTGGCATGGTCACCCTGCAGGCATGGCCTCGGGGACAGAAGTCTTAGAGCAGAGTCAGAACGTGGGGTTTTAAATGTTTCCTCACCCTCATGGTAACGCCAGAGCCGGGCCAGGGTCCTCGCTGGCTGGTGAAACCAGCAAGTGAGCGCTTTTTGGGAAATGGGGTATTTCCAGGGTCTCAGAGCCTCTCCTCACAGATCACTTATCACTCACCGTCTTAGCGTCCTGGGGCTCTTGGAACAAATTACCACACACTGGGAGGGTTAAAACAACAGGATTTACTCTCCCAGTCTGGAAGCCAGAGTCTAAAATTGAGTTGTCCCAAAGGGCCTGGTGTCGGCGCCTCGCAGGAGCAGCCCTTGCCGGGTCTCTGGCTGCGTGCTCTGTGAGCCAGGCCTCTGGATCAGGAGCCAGGACCTGGGTGGGCATCACAATCGCGGAGCTCTGGGCCGGCGCCTGGCCTCGGACGTTGCCGCAGCAGGTGGTGCAGTGAGAGCAAAGTCAGGTGCCCTTTGTGCATGGCTAGTGTCCTGATTTTTGTTCCCCTCTCGGCACACACGCTTGGAAGGCCAGAAGCCAAGTCTGGGGGCCTGGCGTTGCCTTGTGTCCCCGTGCGTGGCTCTGCTGCGCCACGGCCTGGGTGTGGACTCCTCTGAGCCTGGTTCACGGGGGCCACTGGGTGACTCTGGTTACTCTGTCACTCTGTATTTTGCTCACCAGGTGGGGTTTGGGGCGGGGATAAGTATTGCTTCATATTCTCTAACTTGGTGGAAACATCCACTAAAGAAACACTTTACATTTGTTATGTTTAATGTCACTGGGGGAGCCTTGCTTTTAGAATGTTCTCCCAGGGACAAGCCATACAGCTCCCTCCCGTCATGGCCAGATTCTTTCCTTCCTTTTAGTTGGGGAGGGTGATAATTGTTTTTCTTACTGGGAGTGAATAATAGAGTTAAAAAAAAAATAAGGGCTTCTGAAAGCAGGAGACAGGGACGTGGAGCCCACGACAGAACAGCACCACCTGGCCGTTGTTTCAGACAGCTCGCTGCAGAAACGGCTGAGTTCTCTCTTCCTCTGTCTCCAGAGCTGGAAGCTGTGGATGCTGGCTCCCCTGGGGGGCAGGAGTGTCCTCTGGGTCATCTGAAGCGGGGATGCAGAGTCCCCCCGCCCCAGCTGAGAACGTGCATGCGTTTGCTGAGTGCCCGTGTCTGGGGGCCGCTCCCTCCTCTGACCTGGTCACCACCTTTATTGTCTATCGTTTGCACACACGCACATGAGTAGTGAGAAGAGCAGTGGGAACACCCCGGGTTCAGCAGGTGGCTGTAGCGTGCCCGGTTGGTGGCGTCTGTGCTTCAGTGGGGTTCTCTGACGACGTGGGTGTGGTCTCAGAGCTGGCTGTTGACAGCTGGCTGGTTCGGATCAGGATCAAAACCCGCCCTCACGCTGCAGTGTCTGCTTTGCCTCATGTCTCCTGCCGGAGCAGCATCTCCAGTTTTCCTCTGGCCAGTGCCCTGCTGGGTGTCCACTTTGGGGGTCATTCTTGCTTCTTCCTTGTATCTTCCAGCGGGTTCCCCCAGCCCCTTACCTCCACTTCAGACCTGTAAGTTCTCTCTAAAAGGCTTGCTTGGATTCAGATCTAACCACTGTATTTTCTATTTAAAAAATAGCTGATTAGTTTTTTTCAGTTTTATTTAGGTGTAATTGACAAATTTGTAAGATATGTACAGAGGACACCATTGTGATCTGACGTGCCTGCACGCTGTGGAAGGATTCTGCCATCTCGTTAGTTAACACACCTATCACCTCTCTGTTTTAGCCTCTTTTGAGGGGTAGGGAGAACACTGAGCTCCGTTTCTCAGCGGGTTTCAGTGGTATAGTACAGTGTGACCAGCGTTAGTCACCGGGTGTCATTTTAGAGAGCCTCTTCTCAGCTAACGCACTGGTGTGCGGGGCCGTGCTTATCCTGCTGTGCTGGGTGGGCCCCCAGGTCCTTGCAGGACTGAAGCGTGGAGACGAGGGTGGTCCTGTGGTTAGCCTGGGGGCGGGATGCTGTCCCCCAGCCTCACCCTTGCGTGGACCTGCGCCGCAGGTGGACGGCTTTTTCATCATTGGCTGGATGTACCTGCCTCCCCACGACCCTCACGTGGACGACCCGATGCGGTTCAAGCCCTTGTTCAGAATCCACCTGATGGAGAGGAAGTCGGCCACAGTGGAGTGCATGTACGGCCACAGAGGGCCCCACAACGGCCACATCCAGGTGAGCGCGGGGCTCCTTGGACGCAGCTGCTCATGCGTGCAGTGAGGGGCTGGGTCTCCCCCGTTCTCCTGAGGCCCCGTGCCGGCTGCCTGCTGGGGTCTTTCCGTGCTGGCCAGCGGGGGCGGGGGGGCTGGCCCCCTGTGCGCCGTCGGTGCTGCTCTTACCCCTCAGAGGGGCACTCGCTGGAGCCCCCCTGACTTTGCCTCCAGTTAGAACCATGTATTCTTCTAACCACAGTTCCTCACTGTTCCTTTTTATCCTCTTTGCAAGAGTATCAGCCTGGAGTAAGACATTCTGATCTGGGCTATTGGCCTGGCAGCCGGCTACCCCATAGCGACCCTGTCATCTATACAGCAGGAACCTGCCAGCCCCCCTGGAAGGCAGCCGTGCTTGGAGGGCTTCTGAGCCCCCTTCTTGCACCGGCCACGGTCTGGCAGCTTTGAGCTCATGTAGATGAGTGGGGGCTTCTGTGCAGGAGGGCCTGGTGGTGCCCCTGGCTGGTGGGGTGCTGAGGGTGACTTGTGACCCTCTCTCCTTGGTGTGGATGCCCAAGATCATGAAGAAGGATGAGTTCTCCACCAAGTGCAACCAGACGGACCACCACAGGATGTCAGGCGGGAGGCAGGAGGTAAGCCCCGGCCCTCGGCCTCCGGCCCCTTTGGAGCCTCGTTCAGGAGGGAACCGTGGAAGTCTCCCCCACCCTAGCCCTCTCATCCACGCCCAGAGCAGCTCTGTGTAAACTGCATCGTGAGGCTTGCCAGCCCCCCACTTCCCGCACCCAGACTCCGGTTCTGGGATTTATGCCAGCCTTGTACACCTTCGAAGGCCAAGTCCAGGCTGTTCTGTGGCAGGATCGGGCACCACAGGACTGCGGTGTCCTGCTTGCTCCTTAGGTGCCCCTCCCAGGCACTCCTCAAACTGCAGCCTCATCTCCTGGGTCCTTGAAAGCCGTGCAGGCCCTCGCCCGCCCAAGACCCCAGCCCTGAGTCTCCTGTCTGGCTTCCTGGTGCAGTTGCTGCCTGGTTTTCTTCATAGGGGATGGGCAAGGCTGAGCCACCACCTCCCCTCCCCGCTCCCTGCCTGTCCGGGGCCCAGCCTGAGACTTCCGGAGATCTGGGGGCTGCATGGAGGAGCAGGGGTGGGGGGAGGGGGAGGAGGGTGGCCTGGCCCATCCCGTGGTGTGCTTGGCCGTAGAGGTGCTTGGGCGCTGGCCTCCCGCTAATCTGCTTTCCTTTGTCTCTTGTGCTTTCTCATCCCACCTCTAAGGTGATACCTTGTCGTTGTCAGATACGAACCCTGAGAATCAGGAGGGAAGGGGTGTGGACCCAGCCCCGCCAGGAGCGGCCTCCGTGCCTACTCTCCCTCACCCTGCGTGCTTCCCTCGGCCTCTGTGACGTGCATGAAGGCCAGCTGTCTCGTTCGGACAGTTTTTTCCTTCAGCGTAACTGCTGTTATTCCAGAAGCACTTCCCGGGCTCATCAGCACCCTTCACAGGCTTTGTCCTTAGCACGGTGTTCTGCCCGCCGTCTTGCCGAGATGCCGTGACTGCTCCCCTGTGGCCAGGCGTGGTGTCGTTTCCCCTGTTACCCTCCTGGCCAAGTGCTCGAGGGACTTTCCCTCATGGAGCCACTGTCCTTGTTTGCGAAGTGGGGCCAGGAGATTGCCTGTAGCCCCGAGCCGTTTGGGAGGCTGGGTTGGCCGTGGCAGGAGAGTGACAGCCAGTGTCGGGCCTGACCGGAGCCCGGCAGAGACGCAGGCTTGTTGCTGTAACCTCGCTGCCTGAGCTCTGCGAAAACCTTACGTAGTTTTTGGATTATACAGAAATGGAATTGCCCGGAAGATATCCCAGATTCTTTTTGCGCGTTGTCAGTTTGCTGGTCCCCATTCACAGCCCACCAGGGCACGTGACCCCTGCCTCGCCGCGCTCCTGCCAGCCCTGGCGCCGGCCCTGGTGGGGATGAGACCAGTAAGCACATGGCCTTTGCTTAGCTTTGATCCTGCCACTGGCTGGCTGGGTGACTCTGGGAAGGTTCCTTACTTTTTCTGAACAGGGAGAATCTTAGTGCCCCCCTCCGAGGCCACCACGCAGATTGAGGTGGTGGTTGTGCGGTGCCATCTGTGGTGAATAAGCCTGGATCCATGGTGCGCTCGCTCTTGTCTGCTGTGCTCTAGGCCCTGTGTCTGTCCTCGTGGGTGCACATCTGAGGAGGTCGTTTCACCGTCGGTGTCCATCAGAGATCTTTGCTCTGAGTAACTGGGTCTGGCTGGTGTTCCTAATCACTGACCTTCTCTGCAAAATAAATAAGATTCTGAATGTTCACAGGTCACCTTTGTGGTATTTAGCTCAAGTCTCATTATTCACCATGGCAACTCTTAAATCCTGCTCACTAGTTCACTCGCTTCCATTTTTATCTGTTATTTCTTTATCTGATCTTGTTTTTAGGGCCTTTCCTTCATGAGTTCAGCCACTTTTAGTGGAAGGTTTTGATTTTTGGTTAAGTCTAATTTGTTAAGTTTTTCTTTTGTGGTTATTGTTTTCTGCTTCCTCCCAAGCTGCAAAGAGAGTGTCTTGCTATCTTTTTAGAAGTTTGGTAGCTTCACACTGGTTTAGGTCTGTGGCCTGTCTTGAATTGCTTCTTGTGTGTGGTGTGAGGTGGGATGGGCTCAGCTGCTGCACGTGGTTGTCCAGCTGTTCAGGCACTGCTTGTGGAAGAGACTTCCCTTTCCCCGCTGCATCACTTGGACACCGTTGTCGAAATCAGCTCAAGAGATAGACGTGCCCGTTTCCAGGCGCTCTCCTGAGCTCTGTCAGTGTGTCGTCAGTCCTTATGCTCCAGCACCATCTTGATTACCGCAGCCTTATGTAGGTCGTGACGCAGGCTGGCGTGGGTCCCCCAGCTTGGTTCTTCTGCAGGATTGCTTTGGATGTTCCCAGCTAATTTCAGAACCAGCTTGTCAGTTTCTACAGAAAGCCTGGCGGGATTAGGATTGGCGGGCATGGAGTCAGTACATCCGTTTGGAGACAGTTGCTGCCCAGTACTGAGTCTTCCAGGCCACCCCTGCCTCTGCTCCGCAGGCCTCTTTCTTCACTCCCTTGTGGTTTGCAGAGCACAGGTATCACACGTTTTATAGTATTTATTCCTGAGTCTTGCGTTTTTTGAGGCTGTTGTAAATAGGGTTTAAAATCTTTCATTTTCCAGTTTTGTGCTGATAGTTATAAAAATTCAGTTGGTTTTTAATATGTTGGCGTTGCAGTTCTAATAGTTGTTTATTTCAGTCGTTAGTAATTTCTGTTCTTTGCCAGGGTTTGGGCAGTAACATATTAAAGCATTTGACAGATTGTAGCTTTTCTCGTTTTTTTGGAAATTGCTCTTGCTTCTGTTTGTAGAGCTGATTTCAAACATTCGTTAGAAATACTGTGTTGCGTTGGGAACTCAGAGCTGCGGATTAATCGTGTTAAATGTACAGAACGGAACTACTACCACTGAACGTCCTTTGAGTTATTTGATCCCGTGGAGTTACTGGGCTTTACTTGGACGTGGTGTATAGAAAAGCTTTCTTTTCACAAACATACCTTCCGAATATGACATGATTATGAAGGGCACATTTTAAAATGGAAAATCTGCCGCACTCCCCACCCCACCTGTACCTGTCCCATTCCTCATCAGTGGCTGCAGAAGGCAGTTCTGCTGACGCGGCCAGCACGGGGCTGGGTTGTTGGTGAGTGTCAAGTCCGGCCGTGCCCGCCCCTCTAGAAGCCCAAGAACCAGGCTCAGTGTAGACGCCCCCTGTCTGTGGGGACCCAGAAGTGAGGCTCGCACGGCTGGAGCTCTGGACGCAGGCTGCGGCCCCAGCCTTGCCCAGAGGACCCCCACGGTCCCTGGGCTCCCTTCCTGTGGACATCTGGGAAAGTGGGGACCAGTGCCCCTGGCTTTCGTTGGCATCACGCCTCAGCAGGGACGGAGACCAGGTTCTGGGAGACCAAGCGCATGGCGGCTCTGCTCGCTCCTGCCCGCCCACCAGCATCACAGGGGGCAGCCTCTCCGCACCTTGTGCCGTGGTGGTTTTCATGTCCTGTGTTCTCTTGGAAGGAGTTCCGCACGTGGCTGAGGGAAGAGTGGGGGCGGACGCTGGAGGACATTTTCCATGAGCACATGCAGGAGCTCATCCTGATGAAGTTCATCTACACCAGTCAGTACGAGTGAGTGCAGCCCCAGTGTGGGTACTGTGAGCACAGTCGCTCTCGGAGTGCTCTGCCTGTGGCCCTTCCCTCAGGTGCCGTGAGCCTGGCCCCCCACTCTGTGGGTGCTGTGAGTGCATCCTCTCTCTGGGCACTCTAAGCGAAGTCCCTCTCTGGGCACTGTGTGCACAGCCCCGTCTCTCCTCCCCAGCCCACCCTGGTGTCTGACCACCCTCACCCACCAGCCATGTGCTCTTGCGGCCTGTCCTGTGTATTAGAGCCTCGTGGTTGCTTCCCCACACCCGCTCGGGAGGCCTCTTGGCCTCCCCACTGCTGCAGCCTCTGGCCCTGTCCCACAGCCCGTTAGCCCCTTTGCAATGTCTCCTTTGTGTTGTCCCCCTTGCAGTCTCAGGGCTCCCTGTCCGCAGCCGTTGGAGGCAGTGTAAGGTGCGTGTGCACATGTGGGTAGGGGGGGAGCGTGGCTCAGGAAGGTGGGGTCCCCCTGCTCCCTGCTGGCCTGGCAGGCACCACCACCGCAGCATGGCCGGGAGAGGTGTGAGCCCTGTGCTGCCCAGGCCGTGGGGCTCTGCCCGTTGCACACTCACGCTGCCCACACCCCCACCCTGCAGCAACTGCCTGACCTACCGCCGCATCTACCTCCCGCCCAGCCACCCGGACGACCTCATCAGGCCTGGCCTCTTCAAGGGCACCTATGGCAGCCACGGCCTGGAGATCGTCATGCTCAGCTTCCACGGGAAGCATGCCAGGGGCACGAAGATCACGGTGAGTCCAGAGGCCGCCTAGTGGGCCTAGCGCTGTGTAGACCTGGTCAGGTTGGCATGATGTGGCCTGACTCGGGCTGCACCCCAGCTACTCAGGGTGGGACCCAGACTGCAGGGAGTTTGCTGGGAACATGGAGTCTCAGACACCACCTGGACCTGTTGATCTAGGACCTGCCTTCCATGAGATCTCCAGGGGATTCTGACTGTTTCCAAGGCACCTTCCCACATGGCTCTCAGCCCCGGCCACACGCTGGAGTCCCTGGGGAGATGGAGAAAACAGTGATACCCGGGCCCCACCCAGAGTTCCTGATTTAATGGGGATGGACTGGGTGCGGGGCTCCAGGCGCTCCCCAGGTGACCCTGAGGTGCAGGGTCTTAGCTAGTACTCGGGCTCCCGCAGCCTGTCCTGGCCTCAGCAGCTCGGGAAAGCATGGGGAGGGTGGCTGAGCTGTGTGGGGGTTCTGGACGATAGGCCCCTGTCCCTCGCTCCAGGGGCTGTTCTTCCCTGTGCTGCCATCCTCGAGCAGGTGTGGGTGAGAGCATCCTGGAGAAGCAGGGCAGCGCCCGCTCCTCTGTGCACTGGGAAAGCTCTCTGGATGAGGGCCTGGGACTGGGCTGCGTCTCTGCACAGTGGGCTGTCCTGCAGCTCCTCAGCCCTGCGTGGAACTGCAGGGCCTGGCTCTTCTTCCGGGATCATGCCTAGGAGCTTTTGTGTTCCAGGCAGACAGGCCTGGGCTGGCGTTTCAGGCCTGCCACTCACCTGACCCGGCCGTGGGCCTCTCCAAGTCCTGTCTCTTCAGTTGTCTTTGGTTCAGAGGTCGCTGGGTGCGGATGTACCCACCGCCCTCATGGGCACCACTGTTGCCAGTCCTCAGAGGCCCTTCACGGAAGGCTGCCTACTTTGGGCGCTGTCTTTTGAAGGGTTTCTAAGATACTCTGAGCTGTATGTGGTGCTGCCAAACCAGAAGGAACGACGAGTGAGCGCTCTTGGCCAGAAGTGGGTCGGAGGGTGGAAGCCGTGCAGAGTGTGTTCTGTGGGTCTCTGAGCCTGCTGACCACTGTCTGCCCGCTCCGCAGGGTGACCCCAATATCCCTGCCGGGCAGCAGACAGTGGAGATCGACCTCAGGTACCGCATCCAGCTGCCCGATGTCGAGAGCCTCCGTGACTTCAGCGAGCTCTCCCGCATCGTCCTGGAAGTGGGCGAGCAGGTGCGCCAGGAGCAGCAGCAGGAAGGCGGGCCTGAGGACAGCGAGGGAGAGCCCCGGCCAGGCCCTGTGCAGCCCCATGCGGAGCCGCCCGCTGAGCAGGGCAGGGAGCCTGGGGATGGAGGGGCCTTGGCCGCAGCTGAGCAGCCTGTCCAGTCTGGGCAGGGGCAGCCGTTCGTGTTGCCCGTGGGCGTGAGCTCGAGGAACGAGGACTATCCCCGGACCTGCAGGATGTGGTGAGGATGCGGAATGGCGGGTGGGGCTTCCGGGGGCCCGGGCTGACCCACGCTGGGTGCTGCACTGGTGGGGAGCTCTGTCCGCCTGGTCCACTGCCAGCTTGGCCCAAGTGCCCGGTGCCAGCCCTACCTCCTGGGCGGCACAACCGGGTCTCAGATTGTGGGCTCCTGTCTTCTCACTCCTCAGGGGCCTCAGATGGGGACTGTTAGAGCTGCTGGGCATGAGGCCTCCACCCTAGCGCCTTGCGCTGCACAGCTACTGAGGTGAGAGGTGGACAGGTGAGGCGGCAGGCAGCACTGAAAGTAGGCTGTGGTGGCCCTACCCACACCTCCCCTGGGAGACCTTGCAGTCAGTCTTGTCCTGGGTCCCCACCTTCCTCCTCGTTTCTTCGTCTGGCTCCTCTGGCTCGGACAGCCTCCCCACAGAGGCTGTGGGCTCCAGTCTGGGTCAAGGCCTACCCCACTCAGCCAGCTCCAGGCCTGGCATGCTGTTCACACGCTTCTGTCCAGGCCACTCAGTGCTCCCTGGAGATGAGTGAGGAGACCCCAGTCTCCTCCACTCTAGGGCTGTTTACATTTAATTAACTAAAGTGAATAAAATTAAAAGTTCAGGTGCTCAGTCACACTGGCCACATTTCATGCTCAGTAGCCGCTCTTGTGTGGACGGAGCAGGTCTGGAACATCCTGTCACCGCAGAGATCCCAGTCAGTCGCCCAGGGTGCGTTTTGGTGGAACAGGCTCTGTGCCAGCCTTTGTCGTGTTGCGGGTGAGGGTTTGCTTTCTTTACCTCTGGGCCAGCTGCTGTCTCGTGTGTCCACAGTGGTCTCCTGGCTCCCCATGTGTAGACTGACAGCGTGAGTGCACACCTATGTGGGTATGATGGAAAAAACTCATTATGTTCTCTCCACATATATGGTTGTGATAAAAGTGGCTGAGTTTGGGTTTTCCAGAGGAAGACATACACATAGTGTTCCAATGGAACTTCACCCGATGTAAACTTTTGAAAGGTCATAAAGGAATGGGCTCTGTTATCCCTGGGAGCCTTGACAACTCACAGCCTCTCACAGCCAGCTCACCAGCGTGCAGGCCTGGAAGCTCTGGTCCAGCCTCCGGTGGAGCCACACATGGTCCTCCACCCAGTGCCGAGTATCAGGGGTTGGCCAGGAGGGGCGTGTGTGCTCACGTCTCTGTGTCTGAGGTCAGTGGGCGTCACTTTGCCTCCCTTTGGGCTGCAGTGCTGCTCCCCTTCCAACCCCAAGAAACCCTCTGAGCCCCTCGTACCTGGGGCTGCTGTCCCCCTCCTGCCTGGCAGAGCCTCTGTGTGGCAGGTGGAAGTGGGAGTCCTGAGCACCATTCCATGCACTGGGAGGCTTGGACCAGCCCCAAGCTCCTTGTCTCCTGTCAGAAACACTGAGTTCTTTGTAAGAAAGACATAAACGTATTTCAGCCTGCCGCTGATCTAGAAACTTGGCTGTAATGGGTATTTGCAAGTTCTGGCTTCTCAGTTAATGTCAGCTGCATGCTGATAAGTCATTATGTTACATTTGAGTTGTTCATATGTGGATGTAACTGTCCCAGGGACTGAGATCTGTTACCTGGGTCACATCATGAAGATGCGTACTTTGGGACAGAGGTACGAGGTGAGGTTGCCTGGGCCCCTCGTCCTCTAGTTGGGTGGGTGGATAGGGAGCAGCAGTCGGTGGGGTGAGCCCAAAAGTCTGGCACGTACTGAAAGGCCTGCTTCCCGAAGGCCCGGGGCCCACCAGATGGCTCTCTCGGCGGCCTTTAACTGCTGTTTCTTAGCCTCCTGCTGGCAGGTGGTGGAAGTGGCTCGTGTGGAACGGAGGGAGTTCCAGAACACTGGGACGCAGGGTGCTTGGTATGGGTGGCACGCGCCCTCCAGGCCCCGCTCACCCCTCTCTCCCTGTGTCTTCCCTCTTGTCTTTGTTCAGCTTCTATGGCACCGGCCTCATCGCCGGCCATGGCTTTACCAGCCCTGAGCGCACCCCTGGGGTCTTCGTCCTGTTCGATGAGGATCGTTTTGGGTTCATCTGGCTGGAGCTGAAATCCTTCAGCCTGTACAGCAGGATCCAGGCCACCTTCCGGAACGCGGACTCCCCGTCCCCACAGGCCTTTGAGGAGATGCTCAAGAACATCCAGTCCCTCACCTCCTGAAGGCCCCGGCCCCGCGTCGGGCAGCTCCAGGCCCCGACCCCGTGTCATGGGGACAGCAGCACGCACTTGGGAGACTCTGCCTCTGGCCCGACCCCCGTCTTCTCGTAGGAGCCTCGACGCGGCTGCCCCAGGCGCTTCCGTAGAGTGCCCTACTGCCCGCGTGCTTGTCAACAGCCAATGGGAATGCTGAGCACATCTTACAAAAACAGAAGACCACAACCGGACTGATCTAGAGCACCGGCTGCAGGGCGTGCAGATAAGTGCGTTGGAGAGAGTGGCTGTTTTCTAGGGAAAACGAATCCTCCTTCAGGAAGGTTCAGGACACAAGATTCTGCCTCCAGCTGATGGAACACTGGCTCCACCGTCCTCTCTGCGGGAAGCGAGCCAGAGGGCCTGGGCGAGGGCCTTGGTGACTTGGACTCAGCCTGGGCGGGTAGGGGCCGTGTGTGTGTGTGTGTGTGTGTGTGTGTGCGCGCGCACGCGCGCGCGCAAGAGCAGCTCCAGGGAGTCAGCCGCATTGGGCCTGGGGCCCATTTCTGCACCTGCTTGCTTGGATTTGGGACAAAGGCACTTCACCCCAATCTCAGTTTTCGAATCAGTGAAATGGCGTCAGCGATATGGGTCACCAGAGAACGTCACTGTTAGCCTTCGAGCAGCTTGAAGACCCTGCATCACTACCCTGGCCCTGGTCCCCACGGTGCCGTGTGCTTGCCCGGCCTCTCAGGCTTCGGAGCCCAGGCCTCGGCTGCAGCCGTGCGGACGGCATTCTCTTAGTGCACGCCCTGCCCCCCCGCCCCCCCCGCTGGCATCAGACCCCGATTTGCACTGCTTCTCGGAGCTGGGACGCGGCCCCGTGGGACGGCCCTGCGCCTGTTCCTCCTGCGTGGTTTGCGCAGGTACCGCTCTTGAAGGGGGCGAAGCACCAGAAATGGTTGTGCTGGGCGAGTCTGATGCCTTTTGCAGGGAGAGGGCAGCTTTCCGGAAGCATCACCCACACGTATGGAGGCGCACTTTGGAGCCAAGCACCCTCGGGGGCCCTTCAGCATGGAGACCCCAGGCACTGACCCTTCCTCCAGTGTGTGCCCAGGTCGTGACGCCTGCACTTGGGGACCCCCTCTGCGGTCTGATCTTGGCATCTTCTGAAGAACAGAGCCCCAGCTGCATGTACACAGGCCTCTGGAGTTGGGTTCAGCTCCCCCTCCAGCCTATAGAGCCATCACCGTGCCTGGCAGCTGGGGCGTATGGCTTCCTGGGGTGGGCATACTCTGTCCCCCCAGTTGCTCATCCTCGTTGGATGGACTGTGCTGAGCTCTCATGCCAGGTGCGGGGCCCCAGGGAAGGGAACTGCCTTCATGCAGAGACCAAGCTGAGGTGCCCCATGAAACGTGCACTGTGTCTCCTGATGGATTTCTCCCTGACTGGCCCTTTTCTAAAATGATAACCCCTCACTGCCCTCGCTTCAGTACATTTGGCAGCTTTGGCCTTCCTTTGCTGCCCAGAATCACAGAAGTGATGAGCTCTGGGCATGGCCCTAACCGGCACCGGGGCCTCCCAGGAGGCTCTGTGGGCACCCCCCCCCACCCCGGGCAGCCGCCCAGCCCTGTTAGCCAAGTCTCGTCAGAGGCACCGCAGCTCACCTCCCAGATCCTTCCAGCAGGACCTGTAGTTGGTGGGGACGTCATCCCAGTTCCTGCATCTCTCGCGGGACTGAGCCTAAAAGCCTGTCACCTACCTCCCTCTCACAGCGTGGCTGTTCTCTTGTGCCAAGCATGGCCGTCCCCAGTGGTGACAGCTGGCCTCAAAACCTTGAGGACAATAATGGGGGACAGCTGGGCGCTAGGCTATACCTCCATTTTAAATAAATCAAGAAAAATGTCTTTCATCTAGAGCTGAGGCCTGCTCTAAGGGACTGCCTCCATCCGAGGCCCCTAGCATTGTAAAGTGCACGCAGATTGAAGACGACTGCTTCGGATTAAAAACCAGTCTCAAATCTGAATGATGTTCTGCGTCTAGTGTCTGGCCTACATGTGGTTTCCACGAACAGTGACTAAAATAACCCTGGGCTGTTGGCTGCGTTCACATTGGCCTCTGTCTTGGGTGTCAGGCGGGGCTGCAGGGCCTGTGGGTGGGTCCGTCCGCCTGGCAGTGGCCTGGGTGGTGCCAGGCAGGACAGCAGCAGTGAAGGGCAACGGCTCGTCATCTGCACAGCTGGTCAAGCAGAGGCCTCCCCCTCTGACCTATGCTCAGCCGGCTTCTGGTTTCCGGTTCAGTAGGTGAGATGCGGGGACAGTGGCGGTTCTGTGCGGAAACCCAGTGCCAGCTGCTCCCCTTCATGGCAGATGGTCAGCCAGCTCACATGGGGAACTTCCGACTGGTGAACTCAACGTAGGTGAGGATTCAGAACTGTTGACATCATTGTCCAAGGCCTAAAGGCAACCAGGGTTTTGATAGAGCATGTTCCAGTGGGGAACCCAATGACCCAGGTTAGGGACTGGCTGCGCCCACATGGGACTTAGTCTAGGGGTGGCAGGTGGCCCCGACGGGTCTTTGGATGTTTGCATGGCACCACCTTCACTGCCACTTTGCTGCTGTGAGGTTGGGGAAGTCTCAGTGCACCTCTGCATACCTGGGTGTGCTCTGTGCTCTTCCAGTTGATGGAAGTCATGTGATTAGAGATTTCAAACACGGGTCATTGGGGAGTCTTCTGTTTTGGGGCTGAATGCTTTTGGTGTGAGGCTGGGGCAAATAACCTTTTTTTCTGGCTATCTGATGTGGGTCTGGCTCCATACCGGGATCTGTCGGCCTCCGGCGTCTAATACCGAGTGTGAACAGGTTTGGTGGCATCATTGCAGGAGGTTTGCAAGCTCCTTCCTCCCTCGGTCCAGACTGGTACCTCCCTTCCTGGCCTCGCCTGGGTCTGGGACAGTCCAGCTCACTGTGGCTGGTGCTCATGGGCACAGCTGCCTTCTCCTCCCTTGCCCCTCCTACCCCAACACCAGGCTGCTCCGTGCCCGGTGCCTGCATCCCTGGCCAGTGCGGAGGGTGGGAGGGTGCACAGTCTAACTAGCTAGCCACGTGCTCGCTGGGCCTCCACTCCTGCTTCCCGTAGGGAGAGCCCAGGGGTGGAGCTGTTGCTCTGGGAAAGCAGCTGCTTTCTTGTTCTGACTTTTCAGAATGCTTATGGGAATGTTCTTATACAACCCTCGCCCCCAATTCACAGTCCATCCCAGTGCCGACCAAGGCTGACTTCTCTGTCTTTACTTTTGGGAGATCTGAAGTGCAATTTGACGGTACATACTCAGAATTATTTAGAGTAGAAGAAAGCCACAAGGCAGTCGGTTTGCCTGAGACTGTGAGTAGGAACCGAATGGAGCTCTTTGTCATTTACAGCGTGCTGGCCTGCAGCGCCATGACTCTCAGCAACCCCTAAGGGTCCCCTCTCCGGGTCCTTCCTGTGCTCGCAGGGAGACCAGCCAGAACATGTGAAGGGGTCAGAACCTTTTGCTTTTTTAGCCTAATTTTACTTTGGGTGGTTCTCTGAGATCATATATCCCTCCTGAAGAAAAACATTTATCTTGTTTGATCTAAGCCCCATGCCCTGACTGGTGAAGATGGCAGCTGAGATGGGAGGAGTTGTGGTCATGCTCAGGCATCTGCCCAGGTGTTCCGGTGGGGCAGGGGCTGGGATGGGATGGCTGTCGGGGGCTGCTTCTCCATAAAGCAGTTTTTGAACCTTTATAATTTCTTTTGGGATGCAAAATATTTAAATTAAAAAGTACCTCATGTTCCCATCCGGCTGGGCCTGGACTGCTGAGAGGGGTTGTGGCTGAGTCCCCTTCCCCACCTGGGACGTCACTTTGCCCCCCTCCCCTGAAGGTACTGCGCATGGCCTGTGCCCTGCACGCAGTGGCAGGCCTGGGGCGCCTGCTCCGGGCCAGTCCTGGGCCCTGTGACTTGGTCCCTTTGTAGCCCGACCTCTAGTGGGTGCTTAGGGTCACTGCACATGTGCATGGTCCCCCCCCCCACCTCATCTCACCACCACCCACCCCCAGCAAGGTGAAAAGAACAAAGAAAGGCCATTTGGGTAAAGTTTTCAGACTTCTTCCATTTTTACTTGAAATCCACAATGGAAGCCTGCCTTTCTGACTCCTTCCAGGGCATGAAACCCTCTCTGGCAGTGCAGGGAGGGCTGACAGCTCTGCCGGCCCTGAGATGAACAGGTGCTTCTCTGGGAGCTGAATCAGAGGGAAGGAGGCAGTGGGCCACCCAGGACACATGTGGGGAGCCTTGGAGGGAGGCCTGAGCAGACCCGAGGTCCACCCCAGATGTAGCTGTCCTTGGCACTTCAGTGGGAATAGCTGAGCTGTCTTTTTTTCCTTGGTTAGGTTTTTGAGATACAATTCTTGTAAATTTTTAATGTGAGCCTATTTCTTTGAGTTGACCAACACACAGCTGTGAATAAGCACCATAATCAAGATACAGAATGTTCCATCCCCCTCAAAGCCCCTGGTGCTGCCCCTTCATAGCCAGCCCCCACCTCCAAAACCACTGATCTGTTCTCCAGTCCTATAGCGCTGCCTTTTTCAGGTCAAATAAATGGAATCACATAGTATGTATAGGTTTTTTAGTTTGGCTTCCTTCCTTCAGCAGTTTCTCAGCCTTCTTTTCATCATCACCTTTTTAGACAGTTTCCCCTAATATTCCTTGTGAGACTTTAATTCTGTCCTGTATGCATTTGTGTGGTTCTATGTACGTGTGAGCCCAGGTGGACCGCCCCGTCGCCATGGAGTGTCTCTCCTGTTCCCTGTGTTCCAGTTCTATTGGAAGGCAAGCTCTCCCAGGGCGCCATGGGTACGGGGGACACGGTGTGGAGGCCTCTTCTCGGGGACGCTTCAGTGATCTCAGGGGAAGCACTACAGCAGGGTCCTTGGTACTGCAGGGGTGGGGGTGAGGCGATGACAGAGGCATTTGGAAACAATAAACCCCCCTAGCCTGGCTGCCTGGCTCAGCTGGGCTTTGCCCTTTTATAGTGCTCTGATTTCCGTGTGGAGGACGGTGACAGTGGTTCCGTGTCTCCCAGCAGATTGCAGGAGCTCACAGTGAAAAAGGGAAGGGAGGCCACGATGATGCTGTCACAGCCACTGAGGAGAGAAGTCTAGGTGTCACAGTCGGTGAGGGTGATGATGAAGCCTGTGATTCCACGAGGAAAGGGTAAGGTTGGGGGCAGCAGAGTTGACAGAATGCTGTCCACCCGTGGGGACCCAACACATCACCCTGTGTGGGTGAGAAAGTGAGTCCTGTGTCCAGGGCTGTTAAAATGGTGGCACCTGGTATGATCTTGACCTAAACTACTGTGCAGCTTGGGCCAGGAAAGGATGACTGCTCAGCCTCAGAGGCCCAAAAAGTCCTCTGATGGGGGACATGAGAACTTAAAGATGACAGTTTTTACTTAGATTTTATTTGAAAATTATGATTTAATGTAACCCACAGGATTTAGAATTGTTGAACTCCTGTTCTCTGCCTGTTCCAGGTCAGTTGGTAAGGTTATCCTGAAATAACAAGTCAACCTCAAAACAAAAGCACAACTTTTTGTTCTTTTCTGGGTTACTAGTAATACATGCTTCTACAGTAATGTTCTCAGAGATATGGATACGGACACGTGTCTTACACGTGGGGAGTGGCCAGCCTCCAGCTGCTGGCTGGGGCAGCGCTGTGTGGCCAGGGTGCCTGAGGACAGTGTCATTCCTGCAGGACTCACCCCTACCCCTGCCCTTGGCTGTCTGCCCACCCACATCCATCACTATGGTGGGCACCAAGCCCTTTGTCTCTGGGACCAGCTTTCTCAAGTCCAGAGTTGTCCCCACCTGCCCTCATCCCCAACCTCCCCAAACACCCCAGAGGGTCAGCCATAGCTGTCTGCTATGGGGGCAAGTCCTCGTTTGGAGAAGATGACAGGCTTTTCCTTTTCTTTTCTCTGAGAGGAGGTTCCCATCTTTGGGAAATCCAGAGTCTGAAACAAGGGGCTGGTGTTTTGGAAACCTCAGCTGGTAGTCTTGCCTGCAGCCCCTGGCAAGGCTGCTGTTGCCCTTTCTGCTCGCTTCCCTGCACCCACCCAGGGTTTTAGAAAAGCTTTTATGAGCACCTGCTCAGCCTCATCTTGCCACAGCCTGCCACCCTCACCACGTGCAGGAGTGACGACGAGAATCCACCTCTGCCACCAGCTCTCCAAGGGCACAGCCAGTCGCAGCTCTGGGCCCTCTCCTAGGCTAGGGCAGCACATGGAGGTATGGCCCATCACGGGTAGGGCTGCTTAAAAAGATTTGAGCAAATATCGATATATTAACTGAGAGTATCAAAATTAGCATGAAAATACTGAAAAGCTTGTTTCCAAGAAATAAAAATCTTCTAAGAACAGAGAGGCAGAAAGCACTAAAGTTTGGTTTACTAAAACGTGAAGACACACACCCTGTCTTCATTTTGGTAACTGTCCAGAGTGCATGTGTGAGGGCGGAGGAAGGGGAGGCTGAGGGGAGTAACACAGTCCAGAGGGTTCAAAACTGTATCGACACCCTCTGGATGCAGCTGTTTTGAATTCCACGGACTTTTAACTTCCAGGCTGCTCGAGAAATGCACATTCTCTCGTCACAACGGGAGCCCATCGGTAGGGCTGCCGGATTCAACAAGTGACTTGCGGGGCGCTCAGTTCAATCTGAACGTCAGAAACACAATGACGTCCCAGGTACCGCGTGGGACACAGTCCTACCGAGATGCTTGCGGTGCCCGGATCGGCCCCGGGCCGGGGTGCGGGTCCCACCTCCTTCTCTCCTTCTAGGGCACAGACACCCCAGCTGGGGCGCCCTGCGGCCCGGCAGGCCCATCCGTCGGAAGTGGTGAGTGGGCTTCCCCGGCTCGCGGGAGGGAGGTCTTCCGGGTCCAACGCCCACCTATGACCGCCGGGACCGGACAACCGAAAGACAGTTGCGGACGCCAAGTCCGACCTCCCCTCTGGTCCAGAGCGCGGCCCGGCCCACTAACCCGCCGGCCCGAGCTCCGTGCAGCCAGCGCCCAATCATCCGCCAGCTTGGCGCACATACCTAAAAGGCAGGGCCTGATTGGCTGATAGGGGGCCAATTATCTGGGCGGGGTGGGGCGCGCCGCGGGCTGTCGGCCGGAAGGGGCGGGCCTTAGGGAGGCGAGCGGGCGGAAGAAGAGGGACCTCAGAGGTCGAGGAAGGCCCCCGGGTCGAGAAGGGCGGTGTGAGGGGCCGGTCCGCAGGAGGAGTGACACGCGTGAGCCCGCCCTCACTTTCGTCATGGCCGACGCCATGAACATCGTCACCTCCTTCACCACGACTTAGTAGAGCCCTTCCCAGAGCTCTCGGGTGTCCATTCCGTCTGTCAGCACGCACTCACCCCGAGCGCGTCATGACAGGCAAGTGCACCTCTGAGTCCTACACGCTGGGCCCGGCGCCGGGTCACCTGAGGCGAAACAGACCCCGAGTCACCTGGGGGGCCCGAACCCGGGTCACCTGGGGGGCCCAAACCCGGGTCACCTGAGGGAAAACAGACTGCGGGTCACCTGGGGGGCCCAAACTCGGGTCACCTGAGGAGCCCAAACCCGGGTCACCTGAGGGGAAACAGACCGTGGGTCACCTGAGGGGCCCAAATCTGGGTCACCTGAGGGAAAACAGATCCCGGCTCACTTGTGGGGCCCAAACTCGGATCACCCCAAGTCACCCGTCCCACAGTAGTTTTTACAGGTAGACAGTGCAGACACCACACCTACATCATATAAGTTCAGTTCATTCTTTCACTGAGATTGTCAGGAGCAAGTCATCAGGCATGACTGTGTCCAGTGCTCGAGAACTGTGGTCAGGGACTGTTTGTCTCCATCTTTCAGCTTTGCTTTCTTCCCCTCCCAGAGGCAGAATGACCACCAAGACTTCCAGAGGCTTACGACCTCAACAGAAAAGGACATTTCCTTTCCCAATAATTTCAACACGAAGTCCCAGAATGAGTTTCATTGGGCTGACTAGGGTTATGACACCATTCCGGGCCCATTTCTGAGACAACCCTTCCAGGGTTCACCTTCCAGGCTGGGGCTGTGGGCCCCCCAAGGAAACAGCAGTGCTGTTGTGACCAGTCGGGGGGTTGGATGCTGTGCAGGGCAGCATCCCACATCCTCTGTGTTTTCAAGGGTCATCTGGGGGAGTTGAGCTCCGTGACCTGAAGCTCTTGTAATAAGACAGCAGCAGTAATGATTGTTGCAGTGACTCCCTCTCGCTGTTTCCATGTTAAACATCACTCAGGGAAGCTGGGCTCTGCTTCGAATTTGATGTATGCCTACTGGACACTCTCCACACGGTTGCCCACATTCTAGCAATTTGTTATGGGGAAAATGGGGAAGAGTAACAGTCTGTGTAGCCCCAAGTGCTTTTTCATCCCAGAAACAAAGTACCCAGGTTTTTATAGTGCAAGAAATTGTGTTAGTTTTGACAATATTTTCCTTCAGTATTCCAAGTAAACTCAGGGTGTCTGATAAAGCATAGGTGTGATTGGCAGCTGCATGTTTCAGAAAGTTCTCAGCAGGTTGGAATGTTCCTGTCTTTCCCGAAGATCCTAGCACAGGTTTAGCTGGAGTGTGCCTGAAGCGAGTAGGTCTGGGGATGCAGGATTCCACAATATAGCTTGGCATCTGGGAACCCCCAGACTTCAGCATGAGAGCACGCACATACCTGCTTCTGTTGTCACCCTTGCCCCCTCTTAGGCTCAGAATGATGACCCTTGGGGTTTAGTGAGATGAGTCAGGCTGGCACAGGCCTTCACCGTATTACCCCTGTCCCAATTTACAAACGGTCCAGAACTTTCTAAGTCTTCCTCTTCTTTTCTAGGAAAAGAAGCACATTTCAAACCTTTGGGAAAGAAGTGTGCCTCACAGATCATTTGGTAAGCAAAACAAATGTCAGCTACTTTGCCCAAACCCTGATGGCCCTGTGGGGTGGGGAGAGCAGAGAATGTGGGTCCAGAAGCAGCATCTCATGAGACGGTGTTTCAGACAGGGGATCTGTGGTTGCCGGGGCCATCACCAAGCCCCCAAATCTCTATGTAGGATGCCCCACTGCCTCCCCCACACCCCAGTTCCTCTTGACACCTCGAGACAGGGATTTAGGAGGCCTGAGAGAACCAACACTGCCCCTTAACATATATATTCTCTGGGCACTAGCTCCATCTGCCCCTGGAGAGGATGGCTTTCCTCTCCTTCCTGCCTGCCTGTGGGTTTGGGGAGGATCACATGGGGTTGATGTAGAAACCTTTGCAAACATAGAGCACTATGTAAGCAGACCGACATAGAAAACCACAAAAAGAGCAATCTTTTCCCCACTAGAGTTGGTTGTACTTCCCCATTTTTCATGGGGAAACCTAAGACTTGCTCATGGTAATATGTCTGTAAGTGGTCACAAATCCTAGCACACATGGTCTGTAGGCTCTGCTGGTCCTCCACTACGTGACTTTGGAGGGCTTTAGGGCAGGCCATGATAACCTACCTCATTGTGAGTGGTAGGAGTTGAGGCCCCTGTCCCTGTCCCTACCTCTTCCCTGGATGCCTTGTCTCAACCTTGTTTCCTCTGAGCATGGATTTACTATTCTAGAGTGTGCCTCGATTCACATCACTAATGCAACATCAAGTTCAATTCTCTTTTCTGGCTCTTGCTCAGATGTGCCCCGTCCCCAGCACTGTTCGCCAAGAGTTCATCTGCTGTGAGTGCCAGGCCAAATTTGGGGGCCACCTGCCAGTGCCCAGGGCTGAGGCGGTGCTGCCTTACTGGGTCCCTCTGTCCTTGAGACCCCGAAAGCAGGTAGGTGACTTGAACCAGAGGTTCAGATTTATGGGCATATGATTGACATTTATATACTCCCATGAAACCATCACCGCAACTGACATAAAATACAATCATCTCTAGGTATCCTGGGGTTGGGGGCTGGCTCTGGGACCCTTGTGGATACCCAAATCCTTGATGCTCAAGTCTTTTGTGTAAAATGGTATAGTACAGTACATGTGCATAACCCTAAAAGGTCACATTGTGCCCTTTTGTTTTGCAGATCATTAGATTTATTCACTATTATATTACAAATTTTGTTGCTCTTTTGAAGATGTTCTTTTTAAAATTACATTTTCTATTTGATAAGTAAGAAATTTCTTCATTTTTTTCCTTGTGCCCTTTTGTAATTCCACTCAACCCTCTCTACCCTGCAGTCCCCAGGTAATTGCTGATCTGTTTCTGTCACTATAGATTTGTTTACATTTCCTTGAATTTTGTATAAATGGAATTACACAGTATGCTTTTTGTCTGGCTTATTTCACTCAGCATGGTTATTTCTGAGATTTATCCACATGGTTGTGTGCATTGATAGTTCATTCCTTTTTACTGCTGAGTGGTGTGTCATTATATGGATAGATGACAGTTATCCATCCATCCAGTGAAAGATATTTGGATTATTTCCAGTTTTGACTATTTTGTCTTAACAAATAAAGCTGCTATGAGCATTTGTGTACAAATCTTTGTATGAACATGCCTTCGTTTTTCTCGGGCAAATACCTAGGAAAGGAATTGCTGCATCTTACGGTAGGTATATGTTTAACTTTTAAAGAAACTGTCAACTGTTTTCCAAAGTGGTTGTACCATTTTACAATCTCATGAGCAATGTATAAAGTTCCAGTTCCTCCACATCTTCACTAACACTTGGTTTGGTCAGTCTTAAAGTTTGGCCATCTTAATAGGTATGTATTTCATTGTGGTTTTAATTTGTATTTTCATAATGACTAATGATGTTGAGCATCTCTTCATATACTTTTGCCATCTGCATGTCTTACTTGATTTATGTCTATTCAAGTATTTTGCCCATTTAAGAAAATTGGGTTGCTTTTTTTTTTTTGGTGAGTTTTGAGAATTCTTTGTATATTCTGGATACAAGTTCTTTATCAGATATTCAGTTTGCAAGTGTTTTCTCTATGTCTTTGGCTTGTCTATTAATTCTCTTATCAGTATCTTTCAAAGAGCAGAAGTTTTAAATTTTGATGAAGTCCAATTTATCAATTCAGTCTTTTCTGGATTTTGCTTTGGTGTGCCTGTCCCCAGCACAGCAATGGATCATGCTTTCTAAACATTTATAAGAAATCTTTGCCTAACCCAAGGTCAGAAAGGTTTCTTCTGTGCTTTCTTCTGGAATTTTCAGAGTTTACATTTTATATTTAGGTCTGTAGTCCATTTTAAGTCAGTTTTTGTATATGACGCAAGGTTTGGATTGAAGTTCATTTTTTTGCACATGGATGTCCTGTTGTTCTAACACCATGTATTTTAAAGCCCATCTTTCTCCGCTGACTTGCCTTTGCACTTTTGTCAAAAACCAGTTGTCCATATACGTGTGGGTCCATTTCTGGTCTGGTATTCTGTTCTGCTGATCTAATTGTCTATCCTCATACTAATACCACACTGTCTTGATTACTGTGGCTTTATAAAAAGTCTGGAAATCAGGTAGTGTTAGTTTTCCAACATTGTTTTCCTTTTTTTTTAAATTAAAAGACTTTATTCTTTTAGAGCAGTTTCAGGTTCACAACAGAATTGAGCAGAAAATACAGAGCTTGCACATAGCCCTCCCCACCCACACATATATACTCCCCTACCCTCAACATCCCTCATCAGTGTGGCATATTTGGTACAATCGATGAACCAACATGGGCACATTATTATCAACCAAAGTCCAAAGTTTACATTAGGGTTCATTCTTGATGTTGTACATTCTATGGGCTTTGACAAATGCATAATGACATGTAGTCACCACTATGGTATCATGCAGAATAATTTCATTGCCCTAAAAAAATCCTTGTGTTCCATCTATTCATTCTTCCCTCCCTTCCTCTCCCCAAACCCTTGGAAACCATGATCTTTTTATTGTTTCTATAGCTTTGCCTTTTCCAGAATGTCATTTGGTTGGAATCATACAGTTTGTAGCCTTTTTAGACTGGCTTCTTTCATTTAGTAATATGTCTTTTTAGTTTCTTCTATGTCTTTTATGGCTTGATAGATCTTTTTTTTTACTGCACATATATTTTTTAATTTACATATATGTACTGTTCATTGTTTCTAAGAACGTTTAGAGCTTTTGCTTTTCAAACTTACATAGTTATCAAAGGAATAAAGCCAACCACAAAATAAGAATTAACTCAAAAAGATACATATACCCTGCTATTACAGCAACATTATTTATAATTGCCAAGATATGGAAGCATCCTAAGTGCACATCAGTAGTTGAATAGATAATGAAGATATATATATATATATATATATATATATATATATATATACAAAAAATTATTTATATATATATATGTATGTAAATGGAGATGTCCAGAGAGGGACAAGGACTTGTGCAAGGTTACACAGTCAGTCCGTAGCAGATCAGGGATTAGAATCCAGGTCTCTGGCTCTGATTCTAGGACTTTTCCCACTGAGTTTTGCTGCTGGGCATCAGGAGGGAGGATGGAAGAAATACAGAAGTCAAAGTGCCTAGTCTCCCCAGGAATACTGCCCAGCCTCCCAGCTGGTCCCTCTGCCTCCGTCCTCTTTCGCTTTTACTGTCCATTTTCTGATCTGTAGCTGGTGAGCTTTTAAACTGTGGATCTGGTCCCGTCACTTTCCCATGGAGCTTCATTTCCCTCAGCATATGGGCCAAACTCCCTGACAACGCCTGGTGCCCTTCTGGACCTTGACCCTGCCTGGAACTCCATTTCACCCTTCTATTTGCCCCTTGGGCTCCTGTTCCATCCCAGGGGAAGTGTTAGGTGCAAGTAACAAAAAACTGACCCACAGTGGGTTCAACCAGGATCTTTGGTACAGAGAGGATTCTTCCAGGATTGGTTTTATGGCATGGCTTTATGATGCCTTCAGGGACCTAGGTTTGTTTCACCCTTTTGCTCAGCATTTGCACTGTGCTCTCCAGTGTTTCTAGATGGTGGCTGCAGGTCCCTGTCTTATACCGTGATGCATGTGGCAGAAAGTGAGGCTTTCTGAGTCCTTTTTACATGAGGGCATCTAAGGCTTGCTCTGCCACCCTCTCTTTCTTATCAGGGGTAAAACATTCCCAGAAGCCTCTGCTGACTTCTCTCTGATCTCTTTGTTCCTGCTGGACCCATCCCCTGGCAAAGCCTGGACTGGCTGGTGCTGATCCCTGGGCCTGGGCATTTTGCTTCGTGAGCAACATTTTTTTTTTTAAACAAGATGGGGAATGATTGCTGTGTGGGTGACCTATTGGGTCCGCCCTGGTAGTCCTGTTGCCTGCGCCCTTGGGGATCTCAACAGGCACGAATTTCGCCCCCACTTCTCCACCCAGCCAGTCCTCTTACCTGGCTCAGTGACACTTTTTCAGACAGCCCCTCTGCCCTGAATGTTCTCCCAGATCCCCATGTCCTGGCCTTTCTTCCTTCCCAGTGCTGTGCAGTGAGCTTCCGTGGGCAGGATGGGGTCTTGTTGCTTCTAGCGCAGAGAATGAGCCCAGCAGGTGCAGGCAGTCTGGGTACAAGTGGCCAGAGTGTCCTTATCCTGCTGGGCAAAGGGTCCCTGGCAAGAGGTGTCCTGTGCTGTGGTGGTGAGGGGCCTCGGGACAGGGAGGTTCCCATGTCTCCAGGCCTTGTCTCATCTCCTCTAGAGGAACCCTGGGACCCCCCGAGCTCCTTCCCCCATGGCAATGTTTGTGCTTTGCCATACACCTTACATGCATGGTCCAGTTCAGTTCTCTCTCAGCCTCGGGAAGTCCCAGCAGCCACTCAGAAGTAGTTTTGATGATGTTTTATAATGTGTGCCATGAGCACATGGTTGGAAATTCCCACAGTACAGTGGGGAGATGGTGTACATACCTCTCCCTCCAACCCACCCTTCCCCCAAAGGCTTCCTCAGCTGACCTGGAGGTTTTCCAGGCGTGTGTTCTTTTGCTAGGAAGGTGCAAGTCACCTTAAACACCTGGCTTTGAAACAACAGTCACTGAGATTGTTCATGTGTCTGAGGGGGCTCTGTTGGGTGGCTCAGCCCCACGTGTCCCTGATTTTTGGGCCAGAGGGCTGGCTCAGGCACTGTCTTCTGTGACTGTGGCTGAGATATGAGAGCAGCTGGAAACCTACAAATCCCTTCAGCCCATCCCAGATCCAGCTGCTGAAACCAGTGCATAGTCTGACCAGAGTTGAGGTGTGGGGTCTACCCTGTTGCTCCACTGGATTGAACTGAATTGCGGAGCAAAGGGTGAGGCTATGGGGAGGGGTGAGGAATTGGGGCAAGGGTCTGGCTCACCACAACTCACATACAAGCAACGTTGCACACACATTCTTTTTTTTTAATGTAAATGGTAGGATGGTGTACTCATAATGCTACATTTCCCACTGAATACCACATCTCTGTGTACGTTCTTTGTCAGGAAAGGCAGGTCTGCCTCATTCTTTCTAAAGACTGCCCATTCAGCTGTTCCCATGACTCATTTATTGTCCCTTATTAAGGGCATTCCAGGTTGTCCGGTCACTACAGTCGATGCTGTACCGAGTGTTCTTGAGCGAACGCAACATGTCCTCCTGGAATACAGTCCCAGGAGTGGAATTGCTGGACCAGAGACTATTCTTTTTAGACTCTGACTGACGTTTCAAGATGCAGGCAGAGCCCTCTCTTTAGCCGAGAATACTGAGGCTCAGAGAGGCTGAACGTGCCCAGGGTCTGCTCCTGGTAGCTGCCAGGCTCAGAACAGAGCTGGGTCTCACAAGGCCAACCCACAGCACAATGAGGCCCACTGCACGGGTGTAGATGGTGGGCAGTGAGGGTGCCAGCCACCCCTGGAAGTATCACGAAGGGGTGAGCATGCTCCCTCAGCCAGGGGGTGTGGGAGAGGTGCTCTCCAGGGCCCCGTCCCTGAGGCTGAGGTTGTCTGGGCTGTGGCTCCATCCCCCTTTGGACCTTCTCTTCCCTTCCTCTGTTAGATCCAGAAGATGGTCCGGTTTTATGTCCCCCAAACCACCAGGGCATGCCCCTGCCCATGCCACCGCTTTGGGGGCCGCCTCCCGATGCCTAGGGATCAGGCCATGATGCCCTACTGGGTGCCCCAGGTCCTGCGGTCTCACAAGAAGGTAAGAGGGAGGCTCGCATGGGCAGCAAGGCCTGAGAGTGAGGGGTGGGCTGTGGGGGGACTAGAGACGAGGGGGAAGGGCTCTGGGTTCTTTCCCCACAGTAACCTCAATTACTGAGTAGGGGTCCTCTGGAAGCCATGGCCCAGGGCAGCAGGGCGCAGGAGGGCCAGCTCAGGTGTCCTGGTGGTGTTGGGAACGGTGGGGCACACTGCTGTTGCTACCTTTCCCACCATCTCTTGTGCCCTCCTTTCCTCTCCTGCCTCCTTCTCCTCCCTCTTCTCCTCCACCTCACTCGCCTCTCTCCCTCTTCCTTCCTACCTGGTCCTCCCTCTCCTTGCCCCCACTTCCTCCACCAGCTCTCTCTGCCTGTCTGAGCCCCCAGCACGTGTAGCCCCAGGCGTGGAGGGAGGGTGCTGGGGGCTGGGAAGGACCATCCCCCGAGTGTCTGTCCTTGCTCTTTGGCTCTCTCTGCTTACCCCACAGTTCTGGGTTCCAGGTCAGTGACTGTAAGTCAGTGACTGTGGGAGGGAGGTCGGTCAAGCCCAGCCCAGCTCAGCCCCAGGGCCCCTCCTCTCCTGCGGTTTCTGAGTATCCTGGAGTTAGAGGCTTCTTTCTGCCTTTACCCATATTCCAGCCGCTGGTTTTCTGTTAGTTTTCAAGTAGCAAACTGTCCCCAGAATTAAGATCCAGAGGCTTTGAAAAGGACACCATGACTTGCATTTTCAGCTGTCATGGACTGTTTTTGGGGGGTTTCCAGGTCACATCACTGGGCCCCCCTCTTGGTGAATCACTGAGTCTGACACATTTGCCCACATTCTTATCCTGTAGGTGGTGAAAAGGCAGCAGAGTTTTAAAGGCATCCCAGGTAACTCAGTGCACACTTGTCGCATCCCCTCCTTCTCCCCAAGGAAGGCAGGGTCTCATGAACATCATGATGGGGCTGGGGAGACAGAGAGGGCCATAGACTGGCACACATACCTCCCACCCGTACTCCCTGCAGCCATCATTAATCACCCCCATCTCTTCCCAGTGAGCCCAGAGAAGCCTCAGACTCTTACCAGTTTTCAACAGTGGCTCTCAAGATGAAGCCAATTTCCAGCCTGGGGTTAGATAGTATCTGAAATGTCTTTCACACTCGAATCTTCTAAATTCGTAATCTGTGTGTGTGAGTTGTACATGAATACATATGACATAGTACATATGTTTACACTCGTATATTCATGACACATGTTCATGACATTGTATTTATGCATGTATTCATCATACAGTATACTCATACATTCTCATGTTCATGGCAGGCAGAGCATATACTCATGTTCATATGTTCACAGTGCAGTACATATGGATGACAAGGTGTGTTCACATATCCATATTTGTGGCCGGTGAATGCATGTACTCACGTGCTTACATCACAGTGTAGCAGGAGGTAGTGTCTCCATCCCCATCTTTACTTCCGTTGTCTCTGAAATTAGTGGAGGTGCTTTCCCTCACTGATGGCTAATTCTGCTTTCTCTGCATTGTGCGTAAGCAAAGGAGTGGATGTGTTTTGTGGCCTCATATTACACCTTCCCCTTTCCATACTGGGGCCACACTGCACTGTGAGTCCCCTTGATGGAATCTGTGAAGGAGCAACTGGACGGACACCGAAAGGTTGGTTGACTGACCTGAGGTTCCCGTCACGGGCAGGTGATTTAAGCGGCCTGCCCAGAGCCACGGGTGTGCAGCGGGGCGGGAGAGCGCTTGGGAAATGCTCGGTTGCCACCTGACTCGCCCACCTCTTATGCAAAACATATGTAACTTTTTCCTGATTTTAAAAGTAGCACAAATAGGAGGAGCACAAGTTGTTACAGCCTTTGGTAGGAGGATTGGAGGTATCTGTGAAATTTTATAATGTACACAATTTTTAATCCAAGTCCACGTCTGGGTAATAGTTAGACACTCCTACATGCATGTCTCTCGGCAGCAGTGATTTCCTTGGCAAAAAACTGGAAGCAACTTAAGTGTCTCTCAGTGGGAGGATGAACATTAGTGGGGGTGTGTTTGAAATGTGGCACCAGCTACTTAGACAACAAAATGGACCCTCTGAGACATTGCGATGTAGAAAAATAAGTCGCTGTAGCCCATGCAATAGGACTCCATTTAATGTCCTACTTAATTGAAAAATGAAAGCCCTGTTTGGGTGTAGACAAAGGTTGGTGGTGTGTGGGAAAGGGGGCAGGTCAGGCCCCGCAAAGAGGCCCCACTCTTGGTGGGCTGCATAATGAATGAGACAGAAAGCAGTACCCTGGCTCGAGTTTCAGGTAGAAGAGCCAGGAATCACTTTATTGAAAAAACTCTAGGCAATTGGATGAGAACCGTCAGAGAAACTCCTAACTGTATAATCACAGATTTATGGGTTTATTTTTATTGGTTGTTTTTGGCTTTGAATAGTCCACATTTTTAAGGAAGTCTAAAAGCTCAGTTTATTTTTGAATCATGCATCCATTGATACGTTGTTAAAAAACAATTTTAATTTTTACTCCAGCCATTGTTTTATAGTTCAGTCGATTTTTGTTGATAGTGTTTCAGTCCTCAAACCCATTCAAGTCGGAAGGCGTTCACAGGATAGGACTGAGAGTGCAAGTCTCACTGCTGCCAGGAGGGTTAGGATCCTTCTCTCCTTGAGTGGAGCTTCATACAGAGTGATTTAAAAATATGACATGTTTCCCTTGGCCTCAAATCCAGCTGATTCCCATTTTAAAGGGAAAATCCATGTGTCTGATTTTGTATATTCCTTGCAAAGAGGGGGCTTGTGTGCTTTTCTTCTCAATGTTTTTGTGGTAGAATTTTTTATAAGGAAAATGTATTTTATATTAGTGCATTTTATATCAGTACAATTAGAGTGTGTGTTTTATAGTAGTAGCATATTAATAGCATAATAAAAATAAATAAAAGATACAATGTCAGGAGGGTCACATGTGACCAAAGCAGGTCTCAAAAAAGCTGAAGATTGTCAAGGAGATGGAAATTCCATTTGTGGTGGTGGCTGTTGTTAATTTCTTATTATGGGACGCTTCAAATACTCCTCTAAAGCCCACATTCCCATCACTCAGCTTCAGTCATGATCAGCTCCTGGCCAAACCTAATGTGGTTTCATCTGCACTTCACCCACCCCATCCATTCCCTCCAAAAAAGAAAAAAAACACAGAAAAAGATTAGTGTGGAACAAATCCCAGCTAAATACTGTATCCTTTCATCCAAAATATTTCAGTAGTCAACTCTATATTATAAAGACTCAGAAAACACAGCCATGAGGCCTCCCGATCGCCCCAGAAACAAACAGCAGTGCTCTCTCCATCTCGATAGGTGCTGCATTAGCACCCATACCCCCTGGCTGTAACCTGCCTTGCTGGATACCTGGTTTCCTTGCCCTGGGTTCTGGAGGGCTCTCTCACAGTGCAGACTCAGGAACACCCTGTCCCCACACACTGCAGGGCCCTGACTCTCTTTCTCTGCCTAGAAAACCCCCTGGAAGCGTGCTCCAGGTACTACTGCTGGCGGATCTACGGCGAAGGGCGCCGTTTCCTCAAGTGGCAGAAGCTCCAGGCCCTTCACCAGGCTGAGCCGGTGGTCTTGGGGCAGCCAGCTGGGCCCCCGGCCTCCCTCCTGCCCCTCAGCCTCAGCCTCCTGACCCTCCTCCAGGCCCTCCTGAGGGTCATGGTGGCCATCCGGTGAGCAGGTGTGGGTGGGGCAGTGCTGGCCTTGGGCTCCTCTCACTCGCAGGCTGTTTCACCCAGGGGCTGGTGGGGTTTAGTTGAGTTGAAGATGTGGGAGAACTTGGTAGTCGCTCACCCGAGGGTGAGAGATGGGCATGGCTGTGATTTCTGTCACATTGTTACCAGTGTCTGGATTCTTGTTCATACCCGAAACAGGTATCTTCTTCCAGAGGAGGCAAAGGAAGAGCAATCCGGAGATGCTGGGGCCAGGACCGGTGGTGGGGAAGTGGGGCATCTCAGGGCCGCTCACCTTTATTATCTCACCTCTTCCCTGTTCCCAAGTTCTCAAATCCCCCTGCCCCCGAAAGATCACTGGTTCTAATTTCCGCTAATTTCGGTTGTGTTGGAGTTAGAAGTGGGTCTTATTAAGCCAGCTTGCCCAGTCAGTTCTGGGGTTTGAGCTCACCCTGGGTGGTGGGGACCTGCTGCCTCTCCCCAAGCCCAGCCACAGCCATAAAGGCTGCATATTGAAAGAGCAGTTCCTCCAGCCTCAAACCCACCAGCCTTGCCCAGGCCCTGCACGTCTTACCTGGAATACCGCTCAGCCACCCCTCCTCCCACCAGGAAGCCTCCAGGGTGACCAGGGTTCATGGCAGGGCCTCCCCTTGCCTGGCTGCTTGCTTTAGTAGCCAGAAAAAGCTTTCCTCCTTCCTCTCCTCTAAACTCCCCTGCCCCAGTTCACCCATTCTCCCCAACCCTTACCCCCATCCAGCCCCTTCTTCCTCAGTTTCATCACACCTCTAATTAAATACATGCAGATGTGTACACACCAGTATATGCAAATATATACCAATATATGAATGTGCACAATTAGAATTTATGTATATTGATTTGTTTGCTGTTTAATTGTCTGTCTCCTCCACACAGTTGTAAGAGGAATATTCTAGAAAATGTCCATTATCTGAAAATAGTTGCAGACATCTTTTGCCTGGGTTTCTGCTGTTCATGGCAGGAGGGTAGCTCTTTGTCACTCCATCTTGCCTGGAAGTGGAAGCCCCTCCCCTTGCATCCTTCTTGTCCATTCTCCTAGTATTGGGCCCTGGTGTCTCCCTGACTCCCAGACGATGGTGGATGAGTGCCTACATGGACCTGGGTTGCAAATTCTCTAGGGAGAGTTGCCAGAAGGGGCCAGGCAGGGCTCCGTTAACTTTGTGTGGTCTGTGAACCTGAGTGGGGCAACATTGTGAGATTTCCTTCTTTGTTTTTCTTGAAGTTTCATCTTTCTTTTTATATTTGCCAACTCGATGTCAAATTTAGTTGAACTCCCTGGTTCCCACTCTGGAAAGAGCAAAGAAAGAAACTTGACTGTAGATGGTGTGTGTGAAGTGGATGGGCCAAGTGGGCCAGAGAAAGATTGCTAATGCTTTTGCAGGAGGTGTTTGCTTCTGAGCCAGGCACTTGGGGCCGAGGTCAGGCACTAACTAGCTGTTCAGAAGAAATACCTTACCTGCCTGAGGTGTATGTGGGGTGCCCTGTGAGATCCCCCGAAGTACATGACCAGCTTGTACAGGAGAAGTTGCTGGCCCATCTGCCGGCCCGGCGGAGACTTGCTAGAGCTTGAGTGGGCTTGGGATAGTGGGTGAGCTCTGAACCTTCCTGGCAGGGAGCCTGAGGAGCAGTGATGAGTCAAGGACTTGCCTCCTTGACTGGACTTGCTGTAGCCTTCATTTCATTCCATTCCTTCCACAGTTCTGCAGAGCTGGGATTCTCCCTGCGGTTCCGGAAGGGGAGAGTGGGCTCTGGGGGTTGAGGGCCTCATCTGAGGTCTCACCGCTGGAGACTAAACCCTGGCGTCTCCTCACTGCCCCTGCTTCCTGCCTGGGCTCCTCAGGGACCGAGTGCACATCCTGCTGCACTGGGGGGCTGCCTCCACCCTCCACCTCACAGCGCCTCCTGCACAGACCCTGCAGGGGCAGTGTGCTTTCAATTTAGGGGGCAGCTCCTAGTAATTGCCTTTTTCTTTGCTTTCTAGCCAGTTTTTTTGGGTTTGAAGTTGGAATCTTCAGCTGCTGTCAAGAATATCAACAAAATGTCAGTCATACTCAAGGTCTTTAACAAAAGCCATCAAATCAGGAGGAGTCTGTATTAACCACTGTTTTCTCAGATCATATAATTCACAGCCAAGAGACAATCTGAATTATTTATTGTCAGGTGTTTCTTAGTTGTAGTAGAGTTGCTGTGAATGAGGGTGAGAATCCGTTATGAATACGGTCAATAAATGTTATTTGTGAAACTCGTAAAGTGGTCACTTTTAAAATGATAACCTCTGATTTTCCTTCATAAAAGAAGGACCTGTTCTCTACCTCTGTGTCCCTGTTTGAGTTTCTCTTCCCTCTGCAAGGACAGCAAACCCTCTGGACGAGGATCCTGAAATGGTCTCACTTTAAGTAGCATAAAATTGTATGTGGTTTGAATTTTTTTAAACTGAGGTATCATTTACATACCATAAAATTCACTTTTTTTTACAGTATACGATTTTGTGGGTTTTAGTATATTTATAATGTTGTGCAGTCATCACTACTATCCAATTCCAGACCTTTTCACCCCCAAAAGAAGCCCTTTACCTATTAAGCAGTCACTCTTCCGTCCATTCTCTCCCCACCCTTGGAAACCACTACCCTATTTTCTCACTTTTTCTATTCTGGACATTTCATATAAATGGAATCATATATTTGTCCGTTGAAGCTGGCTTTTTTTCATTTAGAATAATGTTTTTAAGCTTCACTCACATTGTAGCATGTCAGTACTTCGTTCCTTTTTATGGCTGAATAATAGTGATTGCATTGTAGGGATGTACTGCATCTTGCTTATCCTCTCATTAGTTGGTGGTTATTGGGTTGCTTCCCCTTTCTGGCTATCATGAATAATGCTGCTGTGAACATATGTGTATATGTTTCTGTGTCAACATGTGTTCATTTTTCTTGGATATGTACGGAGTGCTGGGTCATATGGTAACTCTCTTTAATGTTTTGAGAAGCTGCCTCAGTTTTCCATGGTGGAAGGAAGACTGTGCACCATTTTGTTTCATATTTCCACCAGCAAGGTATGAACCTTTTGATTTTTCGATATCCTTGGCAACACTTGTTTGATTTTAGCCGTCCTTGTGGGTGTGAAGTAGTATCTCACTGTGGTTTTGATTTGCATTTTTTGATGACTAATGACACTGAACATATTTTCATGTGCTCAGTGGCCATTTGTAGATCCTTGCAGAAATGTTTATTCAGACGCATTGCCTGTATTTTAATTGGTTATCTAGTTTTTTTGTGTCATTGTTGAGTTTGTGTTCTTTTGTACGCAGGATACTAGATCCTTATCATATATTTTGCAAATGTTTTCTCCTATTCTGCTGGTTGCCCTCTCCCTTTCTTGATGATGTTCTTTGAAGTACAAAAGTTTTGAATTTTGATGAAATCCAACTTTTAATTATTTCTTAGGTTGCTTGTGCTTTAGGATATATGGTCATATCTAAGAAATCATTGACTAATCCAAGGTCACAAAGATTTACCTATGTTTTCTCCCCAAAGATTTATAGTTTAGCTCTTACATTTAGGTCTTTGATGTGTTTTGAGTTAATATTTATATATGGTGTGAGATAGGGGTCTGGGTTCAAATTCTTTTGCATGTGGATATCCAGTTGTCCCACATAACATTCCTCAAATGATAAAATTATGGAAATGGAGAACAGATTTGTGGTTGCCAAGGGTTCAGGAAGGGGTGAGGTGGGAGAGACGGGGGTGTGGCTGTACAAGGGCAGCATGAGGCAGGCAGCCTTGTGGTGATAGAAATATCCTGCATCTTGACTTTACCAATGTTCTGGCTGTGATATTGGACTATAGTTTTGCAAGACATTACCAACTGGGGCAAACTGGATAAAGGGGAACATAGGATCTCTTTGTGTTACTTCTTATAAGTGCATGTAGTCAACAATTATCTCAAAATAAAGGTTTAATTTAAAAAGCAGTACAGTTTGCTTTGGGAGATTTTGAGAATACAGAAATGTACAAAGAAAGAAACAGTCTGCAGTCTGAGCTGAGCTTTGTTGCTGACCTGGCAGGAAGGTACAGATAGATCCCTAAAGGAGGCAGGCTCTAGGGTGCTTGGACTGGGGTGTCCACCTTACAAATGGGAAGAAGAGAAAGGTGGGAGTCTAGTCTGAGCACGGCTGGTGTCTCAGAAATGCAGGATGATGAAGGTGGTGGTCAGTGTGCCAGTAGCTGGGCATTTTGGGCACACCCTTCCCTCTGGCTGGTCCTCGTGGAGGGTCCCAGGCTTCCCTTAGGGAGGCATAGCTATGTTCTCCTGGAGCACATCTTCAGGGGTCCTAGGGCAACATTAAGCATCATTCATTCAATCAGCAAATATTTATTGGTGCCTGCTATATGCTGGGCACTGGGGAGAGTGCTTTAGAAAATATCCTTGACCTCAAGGTTGCCCTGAGGCTGAGTGGATACACAGGGGGCTAATTCCCATAATGAGCGAAGTACACATGAGCACAGGACTAGGGGGTTCAGAGGATGCTGCCTACATCCTGCCCACATTCTTACGTTGCCCCCAGGACCAGCAATCCCTGACTGGGCTGTCTTCTGGCTGCAGGAGCCATGCAAGAATGGACTGGATGTACTGGGGAGTGATGCCCTCAGGAGCAATCGTTTGTTGGTCAGTGATGAGTGGGAAGTGTGGATAAACACCCCATCTCCATGCCCTCAGATGGGGCAGCTCTGAGCTGTGTTCTTTACCATCTCCTGGGGGTCCTAGCAGGACTTAGTCTTGACTGTCACCTTCCTGAAAATGCCCTTTGTCCTGGCTCCTCCCCTTCCCCATCTCTCTTCCCTGCTCCCTCACAGGCCTCCTGGAATCACCTCCCAATAGAACACTTGAACTCAGTCTTTGCCTCAGGTGCTGCTTTTGGGGGAGCCTAAGATAGTGAGGCATGCTCACCTGGTCTGGAGGGTCAGGGAA